GAAGCGGGTGCTCGGCGACGAGCATCCCGACACGCTGACGAGCATGGGGAACCTCGCGTCGACATACAGGAAGCAGGGCCGGTGGGCAGAGGCGGAGAAGCTGAACGTGACGGTGATGGAGACGAGGAAGCGGGTGCTCGGCGAGGAGCATCCCTCCACGCTGACGAGCATGGGGAACCTCGCGGAGACATACAGCAACCAGGGCCGGGGTACAGAGGCGGAGAAGCTGCAGGTGACGGTGATGAAGACGATGAAGCGGGTGATCGGCGAGGAGCATCCCGACATGCTGACGAGCATGGCGAACCTCGCGTCGACATACATGAGCCAGGGCCGGTGGACAGAGGCGGAGAAGCTGCAGGTGACGCTGATAGAGATGATGAAGCGGGTGCTCGGCGACGAGCATGCCGACACGCTGACGAGCATGAACAACCTCGCCTCGACATACATGAGCCAGGGCCGGTGGACAGAGGCGGAGAAGCTGCAGGTGACGCTGATAGAGACGATGAAGCGGGTGCTCGGCGACGAGCATGCCGACACGCTGACGAGCATGAACAACCTCGCCTCGACATACATGAGCCAGGGCCGGTGGACAGAGGCGGAGAAGCTGCAGGTGACGCTGATAGAGACGATGAAGCGGGTGCTCGGCGAGGAGCATCCCGACACGCTGACGAGCATGGCGAACCTCGCGTCGACATACTCGAACCAGGGCCGGTGGACAGAGGCGGAGAAGCTGCAGGTGGCGGTGATGGAGGCAAGAAAGAGGGTGTTGGGTGAGGCGCATCCCGGCACATTGCGGAGCATGAGAAGCCTCTCAAGGACTTATGAGAAGCAGGGTCGATTGGAAGAAGCGCAGAAGTTGGAGGCCACAGCGAAGGAGACAGAGGGACTCAGTGAGAAGCCCGGTGCAGGAGCCAGCAGAGAGTTCGTCAGAGAATTACAGTGAGTTGGCTGATTGTTCTTCGTCGCCAGTAAGTTGCAGCTCGGATGGGATCGACGGGCACATTTTCTACAGACGGTTATTTTACATTTGTTCTACCTGCAGCTTCATATATACATTGTGTACTACGCATATATTGATATCAACAATTCGGGCAATTGGACGAACACACAGTGAAAAACGCATGGAACTGCCTCTCTTCGAAGCCTATCCCATCCTTCAACGCCAGCTTATTCTCCTTCCGTCCACTCATAAACTCCCAAGAACACGCCGGTTGGCTCAAACCAACCCCGCATCCACCTTCCGCATAAATTTCTCCTTCCTCGCCCATATCTCCTTCAAATTACTATACCCGCTCAGGCCCATCGTGATCTCCGTGTCCGCCAACAATCCTCTTAAGACTTCTTCGACGCCCTGTTCGCCGTTGATCGCGAGTCCGTACATGAATGGGCGGGCCACTATTGCGCGTTCGGGTGGAGAAGGAACGTCAATGTAGGACGACAGAGAGTGCCACACGAACCCGGAATGTGGAAATATGTCCAATTCGATCAAGAAAGCCGCGTTTATCGACCGAATGCGGGTTCAGTGAGCAACGACGCATGGCGAGAGAAGAGACGGAGGAAATGAGCCAGAACGTAAGACTGTGTTAAAGGAACGAAAAACGTACATAAGACCCCTTGCGCCCCCATCGCGATCGCCTTCAACACGTCCGAACCCGTCCGGATCCCACTGTCGAACAAGACGGTGAACTTTCCGCGTTCCTGCGCTTCACGAACCTTATTATTCGCCGTAATCTCTTCGAGGGCAAGGAAGGAGGGGATCGCGCCGTCGACTTGTCTTCCGCCTTTTATGTTGAAAGTCAGAAGCAGAAAGGTGAGATTTGAACGCCCGTGCCACACGCGTCGCGACGTTGGAGAAAAGTAAGATAAAATAGAAGTAGATGTCAATAAACCCCCTATGAATCAACCCAGAACCTCGTGACACAACAACGCCCAAATTGTAAAGAAAACCGAAGCCGAGACAAATTTAAGAGAAAAATTAAACGCACCATGATTACTAACGACAATCCCATCCATCCCATTCTCCATCGCCAACAACGCATCTTCCACGCTCTGTATCCCCTTCAACACGATCGGGCCCTCCCAATTATCACGGAGGAGCTTGAGCATCCCCCACGTCTTGAACATACCCGAGTTCGTCTCCGCGAGCCAGGCCATGCCGAGTTTCGTGCCTTCGATCGCGGCGGGGTCGCCTGTGTTGTATGTTATGTGTTCAATTAGCATACGGGTTGAGTGGAAGTGATGAATTGGATGATAAGTGCCGAGATGTAGGAATCTAGACGGTTGACTAGACCAGATGGACGAAAGGAAGGAACGTACCTTCTGCTCGTTTCTTGTCCATCGCTTCCGGATCGAACGGGAACGCGCAATGCGCACTCTCCCCCGTCCTCGCCTCCAGCCCCATCTTCTTCATAAACACAGGGTCCGACGTCCCGACCTACAAGTATACATCCACACCCACAGAAAAACCGTCAGCTCAGTCTTCTAGCACAGACGGCGCGCAAGACAAGACGCCGGTAAGCTGAGACGATAACACGAACCTGAATCCCAACCCCATGCGCGAACGGCAAATACGCCGTATCGAGATCATGCGGTCGCCAGCCGAGCAACATCGTATCGAGCGTGACCACGAGCGCCGTGAATCCCGCCTTTTTGACGCGGGAGAGCAGCGAGAGCGTTATTTCGTCTGTGTGGGGCCTGGTTTAATGTGGCCATGGGAAAATAAAATTGAATAAAATGAAATCAATTAACATGGCGAGCCGGGAAATATGTTTTAACGATAGAGACGATGGGAGGTACGACGCACCAGTAGAGTTGATACCACCTCGCCCCGTCCACTCCATTCGCCTCCGCAACCTCCTCGGGAGGCCTCGTGCTCGCGGTGCTCATGATGAACGGCACGCCGACCTACATATTCATATTTACGTTCGTAGCAGACCACGACGATCGAGCCAATTTAATGAACCCGGTTGTTGTTCAAAGAGTCCGGTTGACGTTCAACGAATCCAATATTCATTCAACGAGTCAAATTACCGTTCAATAAGTCAAATTACCATCCAAGCAATCAATTCATCATCCAATAAGTTTCAAAGCAAGTTCAAAGCGACGCAGAGAAATGGGGAGAAATAGAAGCTGACCTTCGCAGCAGCACGCGCAGTAGCCAATTCGCCGTCTTTATGGAGAATACCTTGCACACCCACGGGCGCGACGAGGACGGGCGATTTATAGGTGTTTCCGAAGAGGGTGGTCTGTACAAAATATTGGGTATGGGATTGTAGAGATCAAGGGAGGAGGAGAATGTCAGTAGATGGATTGGAGTGGGGGATCAATGGTGAGATAATATTGAGAAGAAAAAAGAGAAAGGGAAAGAAGAAGAAGAAAACGCACCTCGAGACTCCGAGTCGACGCATCCCTCAACATCCTCGGAATAATCTTCCACTGCTGTAACGCCTTCAGATTCGCTTTATTCGTCGAGCTCGACCCCGCGCTTCCGAATGTATACATGTACGCCGCTATACATCATCATCAGCAATTCCAACACAACGCAAAACACACAATATTCAGCACCCAACTCTAAGAGCTGACTCGGAGTACAGGAGAGGTGGGAGAAGAGGGAAAAGCTCACCATGATATCCCTCCGTAGCCTCCCTCGCCCTCTCCTCCAACTTGGCAACATCATAACTCCCAATCGAAGGCGGCTTCCTCCCCGCATACACATTCCTCATATACGCGCTCCACTCCGTCTTCGGTTTCTCGTTTCCGTCGGTCCATGCTGTGGCTTTGGAGGGGACGTGCTCGTCGTGATGAGGGTGAGTGCCGCCGGATTCGAGTGTTGTGCGTACGGCGTCGGACATCGTTGCTTTATGACGATTTGAAGGCGGGTGGGGGTATGGTTGAGAGGAATACTTAGACGCTCAAAGGAGTTCGAGTCAAAGCTGGGGAAAGGATGGAAGGACGTCCGTGAATCCGTGAGCCTGTGAGTATATAAATACTCAGATTCTTAACCCACTGGAATAAACACAAGACCTATATATAAGTACTCCCATGATCACTGAAGAACTGATAGCTCGGTCCAACGGCCCACTGCCAGAACAACCGACAACCGACAACTGACAAACCGGGCGCAAATCTATGAAAATAGAAGTTCGAGCACCAGAACGAGAGTGAACCAAAGTGGACTTTGCATGCGTCATCTGAGTGCGCCAATGAGCCCATGAGCAGCGGTGTCCGTCATCATCTGACTGGATTCAGAGATCGGTGTTGGTGAGAACTTAGGCCCAGGATACTTAACTCGATGTATTTATTTATTGACGACTCATAAGAAATCAGAGAAATTTGTTTCGGCGAGCGTGGGAGGGGCTTTTGAAACGGGAAAAGACGATCGGGAGGAGAAAGAGCAGAGAGGAAAGGGGAATTGGCGACCCGGACCGGGACAAAGACGGTCCCGAAAAAGAGTAAGTATTTCCGATTTGGGTGGCGGTGGCCCCTGTGTCGCGAATTCGTGTGTTTGCGTGTAGGTATCGTGGAAAATTATCCACCAGAGGTGCGATTCACTCCCGTACTAAATGCCTATCTCGTATTTCGATCCACAACACATAAATGCGAGCCTCTGAGAGGACTTGTATCCCTATATCGAGAGGCATGTGTATACATGTACAGCGCGGACCCTTCCACAAGCTTGGACGTCTCTACTTATGTGCATACGCTACAAACAAATCAAACAGCGCCACGCCATATGTATAACTTATCAAAATCTGCGCCACACTCTCCTTCCCTATTCCCTGTCTTCACCGATACACACACTCCTCCCCTCCCCTCCCTTCTTCCCTCCCTCCCTCCCTCCCTCCCTCTTCGTCCCACCCCACACCCCCACTCACTCCATACTCCCCACCGCCCCCTCTTGCGGATCCTCCACCCCCCTCTCCCTCAACTCCCTATGATGCTGCTCCACCTCATCCTGCACCCTCTCAATACTCTTAAAATACTTCACCGTCTTCACATGCAATTCTGCCGTCGCGTCTTCGTCGACGACGATTAGCGCCCAGGGGTGGTTTTGGAGGGCTGAGAGGGTCCAGAGGTGGTTTATGCCTTCCTCTGTTCGTTTCGTTCCCCATAGTCACGCGCATAGAAAGAAAGAGCGAATGAGTTGAGAGTTGCGTAGAAAGAAGGGGAGGTTGAATTGAGATGTGTGTGGAAGGGAAACGAGTGGAGGGAAAGGAGGGAGAGACGTACCAATAGCCTTACTCAACGCCAAACTCTTCCTCTGGCCCGTAACCACCACCACGACCTCCCTCGCCTCGAGCACGGTCCCAACACCAACGGTGAGCGCCATACGGGGCACCGCGTCGATATCGTTGTTGAAGAAGCGGGCGTTGGCGAGGATGGTGTCGTACGCTAGGGTTTTGATGCGTGTGCGGGAGGCGAGGGAGGAACCTGTGAGGGGTGGGGATTGAGTTTGTTCAGCGGACAGGCGGAAGGACAAGTGGCAGGAAGGAGGCGAGAGGGGGTGGGTGGAAGGGCTAGGGATGGGGTAGGGATGGAGGAAAGAACTCACCAGGCTCATTAAACGCAATATGTCCATCCTCCCCAATACCACCCAAGAACAGCTCGATACCGCCACACGCCTTGATCCGCGCTTCGTACTTCTTGCATTCCCCGATCAGGTCTTTCGCGTTTCCGTTCAGGATGTTTACTTGGGAGGGGGGGATGTCGACTTTTTGGATGTATTGGCGTGTGGGTAGGAGGGTGGGGGGTGAGTGAGTCGGAGGTGTGGGGCGAGTAAGCGAATTGGGGGGAGAAGAGGAGAGGGAGAGGAACGCACCATGTGAGAAAAATTCCCTGAACATGAAGGTATGGTATGATTCCGAATGATCCTGCGGCAGGCCGACGTATTCGTCCATGTTGAACGTGACGACGTTCTTGAACCTATCGTGATCAACAACCACATATCATAACGCGGATCGACGTGGAGGGCCACCGCCACACAGTCCAGGAGCGGGAAGTTTGCGACAAGATGAGGATGATCCGAATCACGGGTGGCAAGCATTATGAAGATATGGACGATGCAAAAAGGACGATGTGTTGTGAGAGGGATATGGAGATCATATCAGTATACCAATAGATCTGAATAGGGAATAGGAAAGCAAGACGAAGAAAACGCACGAAAGTTTTCCATTCTTGACGAGCTTGATAAGAGCCTTATACGTTGGGATGGGCGAAGAGCCCGTAGGCAGACCGAGGACGAACGGCCGTTGCTCAGACGGCGCAAAGTCGTTGATCCTGTTCACCAGATGAGAGATATCGACATCTCGTCAGTCACTCTACTGTATCCTTGCCACTGACATCAATGATAGGAGAACGAGACGAACCTCTTGCAGATATAGTTGGCGATGTAGTCGCCGACTGCGGTGGGATCGTCACGGATGATGAGACCTGTAGGATAGGATAGAACGGGACAGAACAGGATAGGAAGTAGACGATCAGTTGACGGGATGCGGATACGCCACAGCCTGATACAGTACCCCTACTCTACACGACCGAACGAGACTTACGCATGGTATACTAACTGACGGTCGCTGCAAACAACGACAACGACGATGGGAGATACGAACGAAGAGAAAGAGAGAGAGAGGGGTGGAGCTCTTCAAGTGAGGGGCAGATAACGGCGAACGCAATTACACCTCAGACTCGGAAGCAACACGGATAGCAGTTGTGGGTGGTGGGTCGCTTCTCGCGAACGTTCGAGGAGCTCGCGCAAAGCTCGCGCCGTCGTACTTATAGTCCCCAATCCCAAAATTCGAAACGAAGCCTGGTCATACAGAATGTGACTACGTCCATATGCTCGAGCCCATCGCAACGCGTGCATCTCCCCAGCAAGAATGCATCGCGCACGAGTACGGCGCTCAGCGTACGCATGCTGCTGTATGAGCCTGCGAGCGGAAAGAACCGTACATGTTCGGGCGGAGACTCGGAGGATGCTCGGGCTCGGATGTCGGTACGTCGCAAGCTCGCAAAATTTTATATGTGTTAGCTCGAGCAGCTCTGCCATGAGCGAGAGCAATCAAAGAGCGGATGGTTTTCGTGGGAGGCGGGAGGAGCGGAATAGGGGCCGTGTGGCCCGTGCGTCCCAATTTATTCATTTTCAATTCATCCAACCTTATCGGGCATATCCGATAACGGACAGCGCCTTTTCACTTGTGGGCGCTTGTGTTTCCTTCGCGCCACACGCTGTTAGAGACACGATGTCAATTGCCTCATCCAAGGTAGATGTCTCCTCTGTTATATCCCGCACCCCATGGTTCACCAAAGGCCTCCAACGAGAACACCTCGACATCCCCATCTCCCACATCACTTTTCTCGCCCATCCCGTCCCCGAACCCGAAGCCCATCTCTCCAACCCAACGAACCACTGGACCGCCCTCCTCCATCTGAACCATGATAATGATATCTCCCAAACGCGCAGTGCATTAGTGCACCTCGAAGTCAGCCCCACACTGGGCGGCGGACAGCCGGGCACGATCATCGTCAAGACCATCCTGGACCACGACCTCGATGCCTTCTGTGACGGCATGAACCATCACGTCTCGGCTACAGTAATAGTTCCACCTGGCCAATCTCAAACGACCGTCTCCGACGTCCTTAAGGTCATCATAGACCTTAAGAGGGACCATTACATCTTCTCGCCCGTCGGCGAGGGATGCAAGTTCTGGCTTTATACGCTCGTCGGCGATCTGACCTCTGGCAGCGCCGGCCAAAATCACCGCATCATCATCTCACACGAAGATGCAGAAAAGGTCAGGGCGGACTTGCGGCTGCATTGGCCCTCGGGGTCAAAGTCGGACGGCCCTGAGCCTCATCCCAGAGAGCTCAGTCGCGGTAGCTTCCCCGAGTCCGCCGCGACTTAGGCGCTGTAGTTCGACTCCGGTATGTATGTACGCCTGAGTTACTTAATATATCGTGTATACGCCTTTTGACTGTACTAACCCGCCGTAGAAAGTCCTCACTCTTGTAGGAATTAGCTTGTTATAATGTCGTACACAGCCCCGAAATATGAAGGCGGGCCCGGCGGGAGCTTCAACAGATTTCGGCGCCGTGTATCATTTTATTATGATACACCATCGAAAACAACCATCGACGGTTCAGCAGTTAGACACAGTCGCAACACATCTCACCAGGAAAAGTTCATCTTCTCCTCATAAGTATTGTACACCGTCACTTGCTCGAGAACGCTTTGAATCACATCTACGGCCCCATATCGCGCCGTCCGAGTCATTCGCCCGCAAAACTAAACGGCTAGAATAATCTCAAATCAAGTAATATAGCGAAGCCCAAACTCACGACCTTCTTTCCTTCCTTCCTTCCTCATTATAACCGGTGCTGTACGCTACGCTACGTGCTACGTGCTAAACGTCAACGTAACCCCCCTGATCTTCAACCGCACGCTCCTCTCCGCCGCCCACTCGAACCTGACCGCATCGAGCGTATCTTCGATGCTCATGGTCGCTACAAGTGCAGAATCGGGTTATTACAGGCCATCGAGAAGATTGCAGCAGATGATGTGGTGGTGGTGGTGGTGGTGGTGGTAGTGGTGGTAGTGGAAGAGGAAGAGGAAGAGGAGGAGGAGGAGGGAGAGGAGGAGGAGGAGGAGGGGAATGAGACGAAACGTACCTTCGTCCCCGACATTGAACGCTAAACTCTTATAAGGCTCGCTTCCCGAGTGTCCTTGGCGCGGTGGTGCGCCTGGCATGAAGAAACTCGAGAAACTGCTTCCGACCTATTTTATTTCATCCGTTAGTCAATCAATCGGTTCGAATCATCAACAATAACAACGCCATGGGTGCAGTGAAACAAAACCCTCTCATATAGACAAGAAGTAAAAAAAAAACACCCACCTTCCAAACCAACACCACCCCCTCCTCCAAACTCACAGTAACAAGCCTCCTCCCATCCGGACTAAAACTACACGCCGCCGGTCTCTTCTTATGCGCCTCGAGCACATACAGCCGCGTCCCCGTCTTGAGGTCATACATGATGATCGCGCCCTCGGAGGTGCCGACTGCGAGGCGTTGGGTTTGCATGTGGAAGTCTACGGTTGGGAAGCTGTGGGGCGTTGGGTGGGGGTGGGGTGAGGGTGGGTGAGGGGGTGGGTGAGGAGGGGAGTGAGGGGAAGTTGGTATGAGGTAAAGGTGTGGAGAGGGAAGGAGGAGGACGTACGTCTTGACGACGTGTCCTAGGATCTCTGTCGCACTGTCTAGTACGGCCTCCCTGTTCGAATTAGAATTCGGGTCGAGAGACTTGACCACCGCTTCGATGAGTCGGGGAAGGTTCGGATACATCACCAGCGGTTTCTAGATAAATCATTTCATCAGTAATCATGTCATGAGCTGACCTGAGGGTCGTAGAACAGGCAAGGGAAGAAAATCTCATCAAAGGCAGAGGATGAAATGCAAAGGACCATTCTAAGGAAGACCATCCATGCACGAAGAGAAAAAGAAAAAAGAAACCCACCTTCCGAATCAAAAACGCAACCAACTGCATCACGCTCCTCCGATGCTCCAACCCCTTCGGATGCAAAATATCCAAACTTAACGTCGTCATAAAAAGCGCTCCGCCTCCTCCCCTCGCATCGCTCGCGATCTGCAAGACCGCCTGTCGCGCCTGCGGTCCCACACCTCCTCCCACGCCCGCGCCCACCACCGTTCCACCACCCGCACCCCCAATACCTATTCCACCACCACCACCTCCACTTCCTCCTCCAACTCCGATTCCACCACCTCCGCCGACGCCTGTAACGGAGCCAGGACTACCCGAGACTGGGGCGAGAGACGTGGCGGAGATGGTCGACTTTGAGGAGGATGTGGCGAGCGTGAAGAGGGAACGGAGGAGTTCCATCGGGTCGACGTATTGTTGCCAGATTGGGAAACCGCGCGAGCAGAGGTCGATAGAGAGGAGGCGGTAGGGCGTGTCGGTGTCGGGGGAGGTGAGGTAGAGGACTATGGATTTTGAGATGTCGTTTAGGGCACTAGATTGGAGGGTTGGGATGGAGAAGACATAGGGAGCAATGAGTAAGACTCCGTTTTTTTAGTTTCAGGCAAAACAGGAACGGTACCTCGTAGACAAAAGGTTGTACTTGTCCGCGGCGATGTAGCCGCAAAGGAACAGTGACATGGCGACAGAAGGCAACTTCCGCTCGGCATCGGGTTGGAGGCACGGTACTACGTCGCGCGCGAAAGAAACTGAGCGAAGTATAAAGGATATAGCGGGCCCATCAGAACTTACAATGATGTTGCCATCTCTCTACTAACGAGATCGTCTCCTCAATCGACAAATCCGCAACTCCAGCATCGAACAAAGTCCTCGCCGCGGATCGAATCTCCACTACATCACACAATCAAACATCGAACCATGTCCACACCCCACAACCGCACATCAGAAAAGATCTCTGATGCGTAGAACAAAGAACACTTACGGCAAGACTCGAACCACCACTTTGCCAGATACGGCAGACTAGGCCTGCAGAAATACTTCCCCACGGCCTGATGCAGTCCGTTAGCGTAAAAGGCAATGACCGTGTTCGTGTCATCGGACGCTGTGTCATTTCAAGATGCCCCATTCAGTAGGTCGAACGGTTGAACGGAAGGATGCGAGGATGAGAATGGATCGGAGGGTGATGGGATGCGGGATATATGAGTTGAAACGAGGACAGTGGGAGAAAGTGGGACTATTGATTGTGGAGAAGTTCGAGAGATGACTGACGATGGAAGTGATGTAACGTCCGGAGAGACGAGATTATGGCGAGCGCGCGAGCTGCGGATGCTTCGGGAGAAATACACCAAGCGCCTTCGGTCGTATCCACCACATTCAAGCACGTCGACTCGTTTCTACATGCCCAAAGCAACAAAGTGCGAAACGCAAATCAGCCATCGACATCGCGCCAGGCAACGTTGAGATCGACCCGCTCTGAATCCGAGAGCGCATGACACAAGAATTGCGGTGCGAAAGGCGGAGAAATACACGCACCCATAGAGCCCCACAGAAACAGACGCCGAGGACGGTTTCAGCCCAAGCCTCTCCGTGCAGATGTAATCTATGTCGGAGTTCAACCCCGGCGTCAGAAGCGCCGTGAGTATGGTCCGGAGAACACCGACTGTGGGTGGTTGTACATGCTCGCGATCAAGGTTCTGCGTCAAGTTCTGATGGTTACTTGGGCTGGGGGCTCTGCTGGCGCCTCTGCTGCTGCCGCTGTCAATGTTCTTCTCATTCCGGTCGAACGGGAGAGACTTCGCGATAGACACGGCTCGGGCGAGGAACGGTTCCAGGTCGACCAGCAAGGTCGTGGCTGTGGACCATCGAAGAGATACGTGTGGAGCGATTCGTAAGGTGATGCAAGGAAGGAGATAAAATATGGAAGATGTGAGTCACGGAGACCGAGAAGGAAGTTCGCATGAGGAGCAGGCCTGTGAGTAACCGCTGGAAGGACTTACCCGAGTCTGAACCCCTAAGCGCCGGTCCCAGGGCCGCGATACCACCATGAAGTGTGTGTGGATGGTTGTCAAGCGACCTAAGAACGTAGCGGAGATCCAATCATGAGTACAAGGAACAACGTTCGAGTCAACGGTTCCATTCGCCGATCGAATCGCATGAGCGTCGGAAGACGTAAAAGGGCACTTACACTTCCAGCCATCCGCCTTGGAATAGCATCTCGTCCGCCTTTTCCCTGTCCATGGAGCGCCAGAACTCTTTCGTCTTCACATCCCAAAGTCGTGCTCGAGAGTTTGCGTATGTTAAAAGTAGGCTGTCGCCACCGATGCAGACTTTCGTCAGTTGTGCCTGGGCTCCTGGGACGATGTAGAGGCTTTTGGGGAGAGGAAATCAGCGAGGCAGGTCGAGGAACCGTAAATTGACGGAGAGAGAAGAAGATGCTAACAATTGATACTCATCCACGGCAACAACCGCAATGGTTCCATCCGTAGAAATGCAGAGTATGCATCCTCGGAGTGGCGCACCCCTGTCCTGTCGGATTTGAACGACGTCTGCGAGGGGTGTCGTAAAAACCGTCCAACGCGCTAGAAGTTTCAAAGAACTAAGAATACGAACCATCAGCGGAGGATAAACGGTAGCGATCGTCGCAAAGGATAAAATTTACTCGAGGGACCACAAGACGACAGACCCATCATCGGCACCGCCGACGACTAGTCGCTGTCCAGAAATCTCCGCCTGGATGATATGCAGGTCAACTATGGCACCATTCACCGCAATCTCCGAGAGCTCTCGAGTTTGGGGACGGGTATCAATGTGGGCCATTTCCGACAGGGACGAACGTCCAATCTTCCCATCACCTACGCGGCATCATGAGGAGAAAAACAGACGGTCAATTAACTGCGTCGGTTGAAAATAGAGTTACTCAACTGAAGCCCAGAATGAGGAGGTTTAATTCCAGAGGAAGCATGCATGTTATCCGCGGCTGCTGTAATCTCTTGCCGGTAGAGGCTTTCCACATGGTCTTAGACGGTGTGCTTGATTTGTCGGTGGCGGACGGTGCGGAAGAGTAGAGAAGCTTTCGACGGCCTTGACGACTCAGCGTAGTGCCCAAGACTTCCGACATAGAGAGGACATGTGCAGCCTGCTGTTCTCCGAGTGGGATGGTGTTCACCGCCTGTGGACTAAGATGAAACGATAAACATCACCGTACAAGGTTTTTTTTGCCAATGACTTACTGCAGGATTCCAGGAGTATTCGCATCATCTACTTCGTCGTTGTCTGCATTCACCCGTGTGAGAGTGAAAAACTCAACACGATCCTGAAAACCAGATATAGTAAGCGATGCTCTCTGTATGAAATGAATGTGATACTGACCGAGAAAACTAGACCAAAAGCGTCCGCGTCAATCCATGCGAGATCTCGTAGGTCTTCAGCTTGTATAGAGAATGTACGTGCCAGCTTCGTCGAAGCGCATTCGAATCCCTATAAGATGTTACTACCGGCTTCGCAAGGACGGAGGACAAAAATACTTACGATGAGGTCAGAGTCGGTCCAAACGACTCCCCGGAGGGGTTCCTCCACCCGTATGATACGCAAACCCTTGATGGTTGGCTGTGCCACCAGTTCTCCGAAGTCAACCACGTCATTGAGCTCGATCCGTCCGGGGTTTTGAGCTGCTTTACCTGGAGATACAGGTTGGTCCTTAGGCCGAGCATGCCCTGCCTGAAACGGGTTGAAAGATGAAACACCAAGGTTAGTGGTACTGGAGCTGTGTAGTTTGGTGCCGAGGGTGGGAAGCGGCCAGCGAGGCGTGACGCTCATTCGCCGAGTGATGAGGTGCTGTGAGGTGTTGGTATTGTATATGGTTAGCGACGCTACGGACAGATGCTCAGTCGTCACCTAAGAATAACTGAGAGAACACGAGCACACCATCCAGATTAGGATATATGCCTATACCCTCGGCACCACCCTCGATGCACCAATCGCCAAGCTTCTCGATGCGGGTTTCTTGAGTTTCAAGCTCGAAGCCCTTGCGCAGCTCGAAGATAGCGATACGAGACATCTGCACTTGATCGTCATCAAGGCCGTTCAATGACGGAGGCGGAGCCGCTGCTTCATCAAGGGAGGCAGCCACCATGATAATTATGAACTGTCGGATGGGTGTGTCAGTCCGGCGATGTTGACCACATCAGGTAGATCGTTCACCTCTCCCAGTTCGACAATTTCCAGCCGCTTCCAAGCCCAGACATTGCCAGAAATCTTTACGTCCTTTTGGTTCTCGGGAGGTGCGAGCGTCGTCTCTACTACTGAGGTCGAGCAACAGCATGAACCATCGTGCGTAGCAAAGACAGAGATACGTCTGAAAATCATGTTGAGCAGACAAATCGAGCAAGAAAACCGGATATTTCCTACCCGTTGGCCTGCAGTGATAAAATGTGTCTGCCAGAATTCAGCGGCTGGAGTTGAGAAACAGAGCAACCGCGTCCAGAGCTGGAAGGAAAGACGTGACGCTCAAGGCGGAAGCCATAGAGGGAAGGCGGCGCAGACGGACGCAGAGTAGGGGAGGAGGCTAAAGACAATGACTTGGAAGTGGCGGTAGGTGAGGGACGTGAGGGAGGCGACAACGTGGTGTCCCCACGCCGAGCTGTTGCGGCTGCTGAGGGTGTGCCCGTGGCTTGTGTAGACTTCTCAATGGTAAGGCCCTTATCGAAGGACGGTAAGCTGAGCCGATCTGAGACCGTCGTGTCTCTCACACCACCTCTGAGAAGCTCCTTTAGTTTTTCCGGCTCCTCATCGTAGTCGACATAGTTCTTGGGGGCCTGAACCTGGTCGGTGTTTACGCCAGAGACAATGCGAGAGCGAGATGCAATATTTAGCGGGGAGAATCCAGTGAGAGAGGAGGGAGTCCTAGGACGCGAGTGCGAACGGCCAGAATGACCTTGCCTGAGAGGACTTGAAGGCCTAGAAAGGATAGGTGTGGGATCGCGCGATTCTTGGAGCCCATCCGAAGGGAAATGATGGTCCACAGGGCGCTGGAACAAAAACAAGGAGCCGTCCTCACAACCAATGGCAACGCCGTGGATAGATTCGGATCCAGAGCCTGACAACACGGACCCTCGTTCCGTAGGTCTTCTCCATGAAGAAAGACAGACAGCGCGAGTATCAGAACAGGTCTCCCCTATAAGTGCCTTCGTGCTGAACAATGCCTCATCGCCGGTTTGCACATCGGGAAATGTGAACGGTACGATCAGCGGGGTCGAGTTCATTGGCACTTGGATGGCCCAAGCTATCTATCTGTGAGATGTCCTAGAGAGAGCATGCGTCCCCAAGCCCGGCCTTCTTCAGAGAAGACGGTTTACTCACCTTCACTTGTGGACGTATGAATTATGAAATGGAGGGTCCCGAATTGGCAGCGGAAGTGACGCATACATACCACGTGACTTTGTTTAGGGGGTTAACCTTACCTCTTCAGGTTGTGAACTGTATCCGATATCCTCCGCGAATTCAGCTCCGTCTGAAAAACATCTCAATTTGGCAGCCATATCTCTACCCTCTACTTTTTATGGTCCGCGTCACTGGTGTGTTCACAACGCTCTGCTACACCTTCTGACCGGTTGCAGATGCATATCGATGAGAGGTGAAACGGCGTGTACTTATCCACCCAAAAACATTCAGAGCCCATCCTGTTACCTTCATAGTGCTGGATACCAGTCACCGTCATACAACTGAAGAGTTCGGACGCTGATTGACCATGTCCTACGACAAGGTCGAGCATGCACGCTAGGAACCAGAGTGGAGGCCGGTCGCGCACATTCTTACGGGGCACTGCAGTATGCAGGCACTTACCACCATCCTACAGTCATGTTCCGTTCGGCGATAGATCTAGGTATGTTCCTCCAAATCCTACTCACTCTTACTTTGTGCACCGATCTGTGCATTAGGTTCACTATCTTAGGACGTCAGCCCGCACTGAGATTCTTGTACACGACTGTTATCGTCCCACAATGACGGTGAGCTCATTTGTATCGTGACGTGGTATATCCCCGGCAACATGTACAGCTCGCATCACCACTGCGTGAGAGACACCCGTAGTAGGTTCTTTCCATGAGAACGGTGGATCAAATCACGGAACTTGTTGTCTGATCCTCACTTCTCACGAAACCGAGAGAAGTCCGTGGATCTACATGCTTCCCGCATTCTTCTTACTTCGTCCGCAAAACTCCATCCACCTATTGTTTTACTACGCTAAATGATGAAGCCCGGAGATGTCCTCCGTCCACTAACAAGCCGCTCTAGAACCTTGCCACGATTGTTGATAGCTAAGTATAATGACCTTAGGGGGCGGTTGTCAGAAGGGCCGGTACCATTCCCCTCTCCCGTATAAAACCTGGATCTTACGCCCGAGATCGTACGATCGCTCTGCCTCCAATCGCCATTTATCTGTCCGTGATGTCTATCGTTATTCTCCGAGCCAGTACGCTTAAACTAATTCCCTGGATGCGTAGACTACTTCATCAGCCAGCATGCTTGCTTGGATTCTCGGTGAGTTCCTTCAATGACTCTCTTCATGGATACTGCGGCACACTGACCGGTCCCAGCGTTTCTCGTTATTCTGCTCCTGTTGTTCGGTCATACGGCCCAGGTGCGATACATTGGAAACCAGTTGCTAGCTCTGGGCGAGATATTATGGGAAGGTGGGGGCCTGCACGTCTTCAATATTTCCCTTTGCTTATGATTTACTTTTGTAAGGTTGTTTCCCACGCTACTGGTAAGGATGACAGATTGCGCATGAATCTCTACGAAATGCCCGCTGCTAACTGCTCGGTCTTGCTGCTAGACTGAGCAATCATAATACGCTCCACGGACCATTCTCGTTCATTGACACTCGACATTGCGTAATCACGCTTTGCAGTTGTGAGAAACGCAATGTTAGCCTGAAGCGGAAGGCGGGCAAGGCCTTGTGGCGATCGTATTGTCGCGGGGAGGCTATATCTGGTTGTCTCCCGATGATCTATACTATCTCGTAACCGAGATTCATTGTGCTCTTCGGTCAAGGGCGTGCCTTGAATGCTGTTTCCGTTCCGAACTTCGCTTTGAAAGTTCCTTAATCCTGGAGGAGAGTCGAGTCTGAAAGAAGCGCTCATTGCGGGCAGATCGAGTGTCCGGCCTCACACCCAGCGCGTGGCGAGATCTGCGCGTACCGGAGGGACAAGAGCGCTTCCTTGGTTGCTCCCGGGCCACGATCACAACATATCACTGCTTTGCGATGAACATCTCTTGCTTTCTTCTCACCACCATTGAGCGCCAACTCTTGCGCACTGCCTGAGTTCTTGTAGCCTTCTCTATCCTCATCGATGTCTTCTGTATCAACGATGCGCAGCTTGAGGAAGAGGTATAAAACGTAGAACATTCTTTTCGGTTCAAAGTCTCGTTCCGCACTGTCTCTGCTCTCACCATCTTGTGTCGACGTTAAGCCATGCACACACCAATCCTTGCAAAAGACTGCACTGCTTCATGCTCTTTATCATCATCTTCCACCAAGGATATTGTCCTTCCTTTGGTGCTCATGCTAGGTAAACGTGTTCCGGGTTGTTTGATTTGCTCGTCGCTCACGCATCTTTGTCTCTTTCTAGGCATTTTAGTCATTTTTCTGATTGGCCTAGATGCCTGTAAGGCTAGGGGACTTCGACCCGACATCACCTCAGTTCAATGCGTGGAGAGACTCTACGGTGCGTGTTCCACTGTCATAGCATTGACAATGGATAGCATTGACAATGGTGGTACTTTATCATCATTGGGACAAGCAATAGCTAAACTCTGCCTCGTTTCGCTCACAGATTGGAGAGATAGACGGCGCGAAGAAATCTTGCAAGGCATCTTCGCTTTTCTGCACTGTTTCCCAGACGATACCGGGAGTCATTCGGACAGTGAAGACACTGAAGACCTCGAGCACTCCTCTACTGCTACACTTCCACCATTACGATAATGATGTTCGTTCACATACTCGATAGCCCGGAGTCCCTCCACATGAGTTTCTCTACTGGTATGTACCAACCGAATATTTCCAATTTGTCACGCCGTTCTGACATCCTTTTAACTGCATGCACAGTACTTCCACCCCTCTCACACTTTCTTGCATATCGCGCACGCATATATACCCTCCATTCCCATGATATCAATGGACATCACTGCTTTTTGCCTGCATGGCCCGCCATCCCGACATGTTCGTGATCTTCTTTTATCTCTGAATGTTGGTCGCTTTGGCCGAACCCACCCCTATCCTCAACTTTAAATCGCGAAAACCTTGCTTCACCCTGCTGGACCATCGTGGCCCACCTTCCGTGCACTTTATCCCCTTGGTGGGCAGCGTGTGGCGTCTCATGACCGACGGCGAACTCACGACGAAGCATTCGTATGCTTCCCTGTCAAATCCGGGCCGTAAACATATCCTTGCGTCTACAGACGGTCTCAGGAAACAAAGACAAGGCCACCGTGAGAGGGCAAACCTCGGGTGGCTGAGATTGCCTATCAGCATGGTCGGCGTAAGGATGGCTCACCGCCAGTCGACGACAGTACGACGTTTATAGCGATGTGTGCTTGTGGGCTAGATTCCAGCGGTGCTCGTTTGCCGATGGTTTACGGTAGGTTCTTGGACAGCTTCGATGCGATTGGCAACATGTAGAAGTCGAGAAGAGGACATTGGTCCAATGATGGAAGTGATCCGGCCTTACGTGTGCTTGCTTTACATCTCGGGGCCATACGGAAAGTCTGAAATAGCTTTTGATCATCGTGGAATTCAGGAGAACGTTTTGGCTTTTCGCTGATACCTTACCAGGGGCGAATACAATGCGGATGCGTAGAGCTTCCACATATCTACCGTCCGTCAGGCGACTACGTCGCATTAATATCCAGCTCTCTCCTCAATCTCTGGGTGGACCTCGTGTGTACTCGTGGAGATCGTAGTTGAGCGGTGGCGCGAGACCATAAATTCACCGAAACTGTGCGCATTGTGGTCTTCAGTGTTGAAACGACTGCGGCGAACATCACTGGATCAGATTTCCTTCCTTCCTTCCTTCCTTCCTCGGAAGTTTATCTTTCGAGCATGGAGGTCCAGGGTTTTGAGGGTGTGTAAAGTATTTGGAGTTCTCCTCCTGCCCTACCGTTTGATTACTCAACACCAAGGTACCACAAACCTCAGAGGAGTGATGATATTGGTCAGGGATTGATGGATTGAACGACCAAGGTCTAAGAAATAATACATCTCGATGTGTACCTCCGAGAACATCATTTTTTCATTGTAGCCCCCTTTTATACGACCCTAATCTTCCGTGTACACTAGGTCGAGAATCGATATTGAGAATATGACTATGTAGTAGACATGGCTCAAAATTGAATTTCGCCACAAGTCAAAGATTCTAGTGCCACAAGCATGCCAGCGCACCATCGGCAACTCGCGGCCGTGCGGCCTGGCGTGGTCAATGTGCTCCCTGTGCTCATCGCGTTTCGACGACGACGACGACGACGGCACCGGCAGCAACTGCTACTGTCTTGAAGTTCTGTATCCTTGAAGGCGAGCAGAATACGCACGGGTTGGCTCTTACACTCTTTACATTCTTCTTCTTAGCTGTGGCGTGTTTCGAGCTCCGTGGAACTCCTTGAAATCTATCATCCATCCTCCCCATCCGTTTCTCACAACTTGGTCTCGGACCATCCACCCTTGACTCTTCGTCGATTAATCCTATGGCATACAACCGGCAGTCTGGAGTATCTTCGTTCTACGGAGACCGAAGAAATTCTGTAGACGCCCTCAATCAAGACTTCTCACAACCTCCTCCCACTACCCGTGGTCGCTACGATTCAAACGCTACCTCTTTTTACAACAATGGAGGACCATCACAGCGGAGCAGCGAGATTCTGCGCACGCAAGGAGCTGGGTACAACAGGGGGTCGTATCTGGACACTGGGAGAGTGGAACCGGTGAAGGGCGGCTATGAAGACGAGGAGGCGCATCGTGAGAATGAGGGAGGTTGGGACGTATTTGCGGATTTCAATAATGCAGGTCCGCGGTACAGCACGGCTTTTGGTACTTCACAGAAACAGGGGAGGTGAGCAGCCCATCGCTCTATTTTACAGATACCCTGTTATTTACCGCCCTCAACGTAGTTATCAACAAGTACCACCTTCGCCAAACAAACTCGATGATGCCAGCTCGGTCGGTCCAGTGGAGATGGTCACTGTACCAGCACTCGGACCAGAATGGAAGGCGTCGGAAATGCGAGATATGACGAAGTCTGGAAGGAGGGAGAAGAAGGCGGAGTCGAGGGACACATACTGGAAGGAATTTCGACGTGGCGAACGGGGCCTGTTTGGCAAGAGGTGGCTCACAAGGAAGTTCATCGTCTTCTTTATGTTCGGTCTAATCATATTGTGCGTCCATTCGTATCCTTTTTATCGTGGCTTGGCTAACTATTTTGCTGATAGGATCGGTGTCGTGCTTGCGATCACCATTCCGCGAGTACCAGGGTTCTCTATCAACAGCACCGACCCCATCGTGGAGGCCACTGGAGACTTCAATGCGTCAATAACTACTGAATTCAGTCGCTCTCCCGCCAATTTCTCCTTCCCTGGACTCGCGCAACTTGAAGTTGATACCTCTTCCAACATTCTCCCCCTCACATTCACCAAACTCGATGCTCTAGTTTATGACCTCGACACCTCGAAGAAGGTCGGAAAGGGTTCACTGGGAAAACAGACGTTTCCTGCCAATACCTTCAGCGCAATGCAGTTCCCGTTGAACTTTACATACACTGCTACCAACGACTCAGATACCACCTGTAAGCTTTCTCCTGAATATGAGGAGTACGTAGTTGCTGACGTCTGAATTCTAGGGGTGGCCTGGTACGACGCTTGCAGAAACTCTGCTTTAAATGCGAACGGCACTCGACCAGGTCCGTATCTTGTCTAGCATGCCCGGTGTATCATTCTCCTGACCGGTGTTCCTCTAGGCATTCGATTCCGGTTAGATATTGACTTCTGGATCGCCGGGCTCATACCTAAGCATTCGACTACGACTTCCGTCACGAACGCGGACTGCCCCATCGAGCTTTCTCAAAACTCGGTCTAGTGCCTCGTCTTGTTCGTAGCCGGTCACTACTCACCCTGGACAACAGTTTCATGTCACCAATCTTATTCCCGACCTCCCATGTGTATCTAGGACTGTTGCCATTTCTTCGCGCTTTCCTTTCCCACCACTGTTTCTCCCATACCTCTATGGTTACATAGGTGTTGTCTCAGCGCCCTGTGCCACCTCGCCCTCTTCCTCACGCTACACATATCCCATCACTCCCCTCTCTTGCACGTCTACCTATTTTGCAACGTTGTCCATGGACTAAGTATCTACATATCGAGGACTTCCGGAGATACGACATCTATACTTACATCGACTTTTATTCCTCATTTTTCTTCGTCTACCTATAGCAATCTGTGACAATGTTCGTTTTCGTTGTTCGGACGGTTTCCCGCGTTATACGTATGCGTTCCCCTTCTCTCGGCACAGTTCACTTGCGTTTCTTTAGTGCGTGTAGCATTTCGATGTTCATGGTATGGTCTTCCGTCGATTCTCGGACTTGAATGATCCTAGCTGATTTCATCCCATTACTCTTGAGCGTGTGGAGTTTAATAAGTTCGCGGGGACTTTGCGCCAGCGTGAAAGGAAGGATGACAAACAGCTGAACATCAAATATGAATGAACACGGGTAGAGAAACATGTACGTTTTGTATCTTATCAACGCTTTCCTCATATACTCTGCCGGTGTCGATGAACTCATAGATTGCTGCAGTGTCTTCCACGCCGCCGACCTTTCTTAAGTGAGAAGATTTGGAGGTCTGGTGTATTTTGAGCGCTTGAACTCTCGACGTCACAAGGGATTCAGCATCATGCCCTTGAATAGACTTCCGAGTCGATCTTCCATGGCGCCATCAAGCAACTGGCAAGTTTCGACCTCTGATGCCATATTTTGTGATTGACTCTCACAAGTCCAGACCTGCAGGATTGATATCCTAAACCTTTCCGCAGACATCCTAGCATGATCCATGCTACGTCAGTCTGAATCCTGATTCGTGCGTTTTTTCAGACAATGGCATACTCTCATATATGTGCCTCCTAGTACCTCCAAGCCTGTGATGATTCCGCTATATCTGGGGGAACTGTTTGCGACGTTCCAAGTACAGAACCTAAAATACGATCACGATGTGGCAGAAGACGATTGGCTACTAGTTAACGGTTCCGTCCTGCTCTCCACCTCTCCTCTCTTTCATTTCCTGCTCACAACGTCATGCATGTTGTCCTGCTAATATTGGTTTTGATGTTCCATGACTACCTTCGAACCTCGAATCGGGTGGACTATGATTTGGAGCGCTCCACAAATGCCGAGTATGCCCATAGTCGAAAAGAAATCTCTCGGTCGGTACTGACACTCACATGTACCTGGCTGATGGGCTCGAAAATCCTAATGATAGTCTCCGCGGCCCTCCGCTCTCAGCCGTAAACCGTTAAGGGACACTCTCTGATACCAAGATTCATACAAACGCACTATGTTCTCGCGGTTCTCCGTCCTCGGGCGGCATGACGCTCAGCTTTTGAGCCAAAATACCCATCATTTTACCACGTCAACTCAAGGAAGTACTTCCTTTGTCGTCGTGGTCTATCTTCCCATATATTTTCGTATTGTGGATTGCTCGTTCAGTGTCACAAGTCTCCCCTTTCCTCGTTATCGGCCTGCGGAGGATGGATTTCGGGCACAATCCATCGAAATTCGACCAAATTCGCATACAGAAGTACTTCCTTACTCAGAGGCCCTGCGGTGGAAGTACTTCCTCGCCGTAACTTGACTATTATCAGTCTATAATCCCCATGCTGGAGCCTGACAGACACCACGACAAGCAGGTGCTCGGCGTATTGGGGATGATAACGAGCCCCGAGTGCTGGTCTGACTCTCGCGGTATGTTGTCGTAAGTGGAATGGAAGTACTTCCTGTTACATTCGTGAGTGCGACTTCGTTCATATCCGCTGTGGATACTAGAGGAGTCTTACCAATACCACTGACTATCATGTAAACATACCTTTGCGGCGAGATTCACCCACGATATCTCTACTTATATAACCGAGCTCGAACATTCAACCTACTCAACAACTAACAACACCATTCAGTTTCGCCCCTCCATCTCAGAACACACGCATTCATACCCACATCACAATGTCCACCTTGACAGCCACTCCTGCTCCCCGTGATATCTTCGCGAACCACGATCCTGAAGTCGTCAAGCTCAGGACTATCGTCGGTGCAAACCTCGACTCCAAATCCGCCGGTTGGGACGAGGCTTGGTGGGTCACGTCTTTTTTATTATTCTTACTCTTGCTGATGATACATATTGTAACACAGGAAGGCCGGTGCTACCGCTTGGGATGGAGGGGAGGCTCAACCGCCTCTCCGCGAGCTCCTCGAGTCGAACGCCCTCGACTTTGCAAAGACTGGCAGAGCTCTCGTCCCCGGTTGTGGAAGAGTACGGATAATTCGACCGTAATGGCATAGTACATCACAGGCTGACTTCTGACCGTTTGATTATAGGCATACGATGCTATCTACATCGCCTCGAAGTTGGGTTTGACTACCGTAGGCTACGACATCTCTCCTACAGCTCTTGAGGCTGCAAACAAGTACGTCTCTATCTTTGGACCAAACCCGCGTCATTGCATTGTCGTAACTTGCCGCCGTACGATTTAGGCAGCTCTCGGCGTTCCCAGAACTTCAGTCATCCGGGAGGATATCATTCCAACTCGGTGACTTCTTTGCCCTCAGTCCTCCGGAGAACGAACGCTTTGACGTCGTCTATGACTACACGTAGGATCATTTATCATGCCTGTGATATTTGATATTGGCTAATTATTACTGTTATAGCTTTTTCGTTGCTATCCCACCATCTATGCGGGATGACTGGGGTCGTCAAATGAGTGCGCTGGTCAAACCAGGCGGCTACCTCATCACGCTCGTCTATCCCCTAGGCCTCACGCCTGATGGTCGCGGCCCTCCGTACCACGTCGAGCCCGAGCACTACGTTGGCCCCCTTGGTGGTAACTTCACGAAGGTTTACGACGAGACTCCCAAGACGAAGGCTGCGAGTCCCTACGACGGCGAATCGCAGATGATTGTGTGGAAGAGGAACTGATGACGTTGCGGTGTAATCTTGGTGCATGCTCAACCATGCGGATTGGTGGTGTACTTTGTTTGTATGTCTCTCGAGCAGGTCAGGACGTGCTGGTGGTTCAACTTCACCCCATTTATCATCCTTCTTTCTTCCCCGCACTCTTCGAAGTTCTCGATTCACTTGGCAGAGCTGTACGGCCTGCTTCTCACAAGGCCCGCCATTGTCCTCACGCAGTTTTATTTTAGTCCAGATGCTGATGATATTGAACTTCCGCCACATTCAAGTTGTAGCTAAGAGCATCTGGAGGCATCTGACCACCACTCAACGTGGCGATGGGTCTGCGGCCTTGGTCCAGTACAACTCTCTTCCGACATGATGTATTATTGGATTTATCGCTAGACTGAGTCAGTGTCCATTGAACGGGCTGTTTATCTGAACTGGATTCCTTTATGGCAACGGTCGGTGTCAGTGAGATCATACATCGGGTTCCTTCCGAGGATAAGTACAAGAGGTTCACGCGAGTTATTCTTATGGTGTGAAGCAGGTTGTCAGTAGCACTATATACAGTCTGCTATACCTTGAGAACGATAGAGGAACAAACCTTCTTCCGAGTTCGGGCGTTTCCGGCGTATATCGCCTTTCGAGAGGTCTTATTTTTTCCTGGGTCTTCCTACAAGACTTACGAGCACACTCATGCGTCACCCTTTAAACACGGCGGGGGGACCAATATTTGGCGCACGCCAAAGCCATTTGCATTGTCAGATCCATATCCAGGAAATAGATACCAAAATGGGACGCTCCAGATCATATATTTGTCGTAGTTTAATGTAAAATCCATAGTTTTGCTTTGGATTCCGCTTTGAACTCGCCCAGATGAGAAGCTGAAGAAAAACAATGGTGCCCTGCAAATGGTTATATTTTTGCTGAACTATAGAGTCCTCCGAATCAAGAGACGAAGGCCCGCTTTAGATCTCAAAATGACGTGACCCAAAGCCACTCTTTGGACTGCTCGATTCAGTGAACCAAAGGCGAGCAATCGGGCCCCATATGGAGCTCTCCATAGTCCAACTTTGGAATTTTTGCGATCTGATAGCCAATCAACGTTCGCCAAGTGGCAGATTAAGCCCAAAGCCAGACTATAGAGAGCAGCATATCGGGCTCAATTGTTTGCCTTTGGTTCACCAAATCGAGCAGTCCGAATAATGGCTTTGGGTCACGCCATTTTGAGGTCTAAAGCGGGCCTTTGTCTCTTGACTCGGAGAACTCTAAAGTTTAGCAAAAATATAACCATTTGCAGGGCACCATTGTTTTTCTTCAGCTTCTCATCTGGGCGAGTCCAAAGCGGAATCCAAAGCAAAACTACTGTACTTTTTCGACCAAAGGTTCATCAAGAATTTACGTCACCCATCAGTTTCGCCCGGGTCACGGTTCAGAAGCCGTGCGTGAGCGTGACGGGACCCGTAAATGGTTCAGAAAACAACGTAGGCGCTTGCGAAAATGATTATTTTGCGCAAGCGCCTGCCGAGGTCACTGTTCGCTCACCCTGCGTTATGCGTGAGGTCACGCAGTATTTTGTTCGGTTCATCAACGCGGAGAACGCGTGACGAACCTTTGGTCGAAAAAGTACAGTATGGATTTTACACTAAACTACGGCAAATATATGATCTGGAGTGTCCCATTTTGGTATCTATTTCCTGGATATGGATCTGACAATGCAAATGGCTTTGGCGTGCGCCAAATACTGATCCCCCCGCCGTGAAATAACGCCGGTACTTCGTCTAACCATTTTCCACAGCCTCAAGTCAAGATTCGCCGCAAGAAACACGTGGTGTTCTATTCATACACGTATCAAGTGCGTAAGACTGCATCGTTGTTGCATCATGATCATGTAGCCACCGTGACTTTGAATCGGAGCATGGCCGATATACAACTGTTGTCGTCTTTGTCGACTTTGAGGTGCCTCTCACTCTGTACTCTATTCTGAAGACGATATAATCATTTCCGTGTCGGAAGAGCTACGTCTCTCAAGATTCAAGCGTTATGTTATAAAGGATGTCGGTCCTCTAGCGAGCTGTGCATGACAGCTGTAGGAATAAGAATGTCATTATTGCCGACATGGATCTTTACCATATTGGTGAATATTGTGGCTTCTTCACTACACCTGTCGAATGATGTGACCAGTTCCTACACATATCGCACGTCTTTGGAACTCGTCCACTGGGTACGCACTAAGTTGCCCCAGACTGGAACTAGATCCTCGGCACCTCACGTTTGTCCCGTTGCACCTCACAACTTCGTCCACGGAACGAGACGACTGCCACACCTGTGCAGAGCTGCACTATTATATATTTCTCCACACGAGCATATAGCTTCCAATTGGCTCTTCAACCCGTGGATGGGTATGATCACAACACACTTCTTACTTTGTGTTCTCTCATCTCTGTTTATGTTTCGAAGGTCTGTGTTTGGAGCCTAGACGGAACTTCGGGGACCTTTGTGGAACCTCGACATGTGTCGCCTCTAGTCACCTCTCATGCATCAACATGTACATGTCGACCTCGTCAAATCAACTCCAAAACATCCATCATATATAACAGATAGAACAGAAAGTCAGTTTATTTGACGATATATCATGCCTCCTACCAACACCGATCCCATACATTGCTCTCTGTCCTACACAAGTGCTACTGAGACCCTGGAGGTTGTTGCTTCATCTTCGTCATCGACATCTGCCGCTAGTACAAGCTCCAATCTGTCTGGAAATACGCGTATGGCTATAATTCTTAGCTCACGTGCGTTATTTTCTACATTTCCACAATCCTAACTATCGTTGTTACCTCACGTCGACTGACATTCAACCACAGTCTTATTCATTTTTGTCATTACCGCAATGTGGCTCATATGCTATCACAAACCAAAACGGGCCATTCGGGAGGAGAAACGGCGGTCACTACAAAGAGGCCCATCTAAACCAGTGATTCAAGGGCGAAGAGTTGGTCCTGGTTCGTCTCCAATATCTTAGGATACCCGATGGTGTCTGACTCTAAAAACCAGCTGGACATGTGCTGAGTCCACCGATGCACCCAGGAGACATTCCATATATTACTCTTCCTTTGCCAGTCGCTTCTCCAGATACACACACCTCTAGCGATGACAGTCGGCGTTCACAACGGCGTGAGCAGCGTTCTGGGGATTCGTGGTCTTCCGTTAGTTCATCTAAGATCAACACTCAGGCTTCACTTGACCAGCAGCCTATGACCCCATTTTCATGACACATTCTCTTGCTATGGGTACCGTAAAACAGGTCAAAAGGTCCAATAGTCGATTGTCCCACGTTTACATACAGGCTGTTCATTGTACTCTTCACCGTACCCACAGATGGGAGGTTTCTTGTGCTTGCACTGGCTCGGTTCAATGCATTACATAGTAGAAATTCATGTACCATACTACAGCGCAATATTTCAATACACTCGCCCCTGATACGGTGCAGGAGGACACAAGGCGTCTTCAGGTTGAGCGCTCACTTACTCTCCGGTATGCCTTCGCCACAACGCCACATAACTTACATAATACAGCTCCGTCCACGTGGCGGGGCCGCATACGTGGAGGAAGCTCTTGATCGTCTCGAATTCATTCACACTCACATCTCGATGACCAGCTGGCGGTGTACACTAGAATACACGCCGTGGTATTCCCTCTGTCCTTGACATCTCATAGCATTATAATGCTTGGTTATCTGCTTGCTGTGCTCTTACTTGCCGTTCCTTTCTACATTCGTCAACTCCGTTCGGGCAATGCACAACGCCGCAAGGACTTGTTGAAGTCACTTGGTCAGAGCGAAATTTGCGACAGAAAAATAGTAGGGTTTTTTCACCCTTACTGGTGCGTCTATGCTATAGCTCTGGCGACGAATTTTTTATCTGATTGAACTGACAGGGAGCCGTCGTTGTAGCAATGCTGGTGGCGGAGGAGAGCGTGTTCTTTGGACGGCCATCGCTTTCATGCAACGTACGGAGCCGGATATTGTAAGCATCGTATATAGCGGAGATACGGATGCTACCAAGGAAGAGATTCTGGATAAGGTCAAGGTATGTCTTGCTGTATTATCATGTATCCAAACGCCACACCCGCGACGGACGTCAGACCCTCTCGGCTTGTTTGTACTAAAGACGCTAAGTGGCTCTATTTGCTCCAGGCTAGGTTCGCCATAATATTATCACCGGAACTTGTACATTTTGTCTTCCTGGAGTCTCGGCGGTTTGTGGAAGACTCTACGTGGCCGCGGTTCACTCTACTCGGTCAGAGCCTAGGTTCTATGTACCTGGCTTGGGAGGCAGTGTCGAAATTGATCCCCGATCTTTATATTGGTGAGAGCCCTTGTACTTTCTTATCGCTTCCTCCGTATGGTGCCGCCCGGAGTCATTGCACATGTTGTTTTCCCAACGACTTGTGAGAGGTATACCCACGCGTAGCCAAAATGACCACACATACCGAACACCATCTTATGAGCTCCCATATAAATTATCTGACTGCATTATTGATGCTCTCGTGATGTCATGCTTTAGATACCATGGGCTATGCGTTCACATTCCACGTTGTCTCCTTGCTGGCTGGTATTCCTGTAGGCGCCTACGTCCACTATCCCACGATCAGCACAGACATGCTCGCTCGCGTACAATCTCGGAGGCAATGGCACACCAATTCAAGTGCGATCTCGTCTTCGTCAATCCTTAGCCAAGGGAAGCTCCTGTACGTCTAGTCATGACATCAGGACTAACTCCGAGACTCACACTTTCGTGGCGACAACTTGCAGATACTACCGGCTTTTCATGTACCACTATGCTCAAGCTCTTCGCCGAGTCTCGTTCCTGATGGCTAATTCTTCCTGGACGAAGAATCACGTAGACTCTATTCTCGCATACTCAGATCCGTTACTTGACACGATGCACCTTCCATTCAAAATACTGGCGTACCCATTTACAACGGTTCTCGAACTGGTTTTGGCGCCAGTACCGTCAAGAGTCGACTCTTTATCACGCAGAACATCGAAGGAAGCAAAGATCGTATACCCGCCTTGTGACACTCGGGCCATGTCGTCATTTCCTCTCGAAGGACGGGAACGTATCATCCTCAGCATCGCTCAGTTCCGGTACTTACTCCCTTTCTCAGGTTTTGATATTGAGCTTCTTCACTGACCGGTCTTTGTTCCTGCACATGGGCTCATTAAAGGCCCGAGAAAGATCACCCTATGCAACTTCACGCCCTCTCGAAACTTCTTCTCGCACACCCGGAATACAAAGCACCCTTTGTTGGCGCTCAAGGCGGTGTCCGCCTCGTACTGATCGGGGGCAGTCGGAATGAGGAGGATTCAGCTCGTGTGGAAAGCCTGCGCGCTTTAGCGAGGGAACTGCATGTCGAAGTACGTTTCTCTCTATCCTTGTCCTGAGGCGTATGCGATCAACACAGGCGCAACACAGTAACAATCCTAGCCAAGGCGGCTGTCTGTTGCCTCCTGGCGCCCTACAGCTATTAATCTCGGGTTTCGATCGGTTACCAGATGTACTGATCGTTCTCCGGGTGCCATTCTCCGCTGTACAGGAACACGTCGAGTTCATGATCAACGCCTCATATCCTGCGATGCTCTCTTACCTCGAGCGCGCGAGCGTAGGTTTACACACCATGGTTGATGAGCATTTTGGAATCAGCGTAGTCGAATTCATGGTACGCTTTCACTAGTTCGGACATCCACGTACCCATTGGTTGATGTTGTTGATACAGGCTGCGGGCGTGATACCTGTCGCGCATGCCTCTGCCGGACCGCTCCTTGATATCATTGTTCCCGTCAACGGCGAACTGACAGGTTCGTACACTGTTCACGTTCTTTGTATTCGAATCTGGGACTGACTCGGATCTGGCGTATGGCAGGTTATCATGCCACTACCGCAGAGACCTTTGCTGAGAAGTTGTATGAAGCTCTGACGTTGTCTAAGGATTCTGATCTCGCTTTGAGGCAGAGAGCAAGACAATGGGCTACGATGACCTTCTCGGAGCAGGAGTTTGAAAAAGGATGGGAGGGGAGTGAGTGGAAGAAGTGGCTTTAGGTACTGGGACATGCGAACATATAACTCGGCACGTCCAATACATTGACTTATCGCCAGGACCGAGCGCCACTACCTGCCACACATTACTCGCGAATGTTCAAGTCAAATCATTATACAGTATGGACATCGCGTGAACTGTCGAGTGTTTTGTCCAAAGAGTCCCGGAGAAGACGTCGTTCCATACGTACTAACTTCCCTCAACGGCCGCAAAGTCGCACAGATAGATGATGAGACACGACATTGTCCATCTAACTCCGCATCTCGACTCGGCTGCTACATGATTTACCTCGCACGAGATGCTTCCTTTCACTGCCACTGATGGGTCCCCCTCAGGCCTCAGAGCGCGTCCCCTTTCTAAATCTTCTAACTCGTCTTATCGGCCTTTATCACCCATGTCCTCTCGACGCCGCCTGCTGTGATGTTCAGGTAACTAGTCCCAGCGCGACACGTTTCACGGAGGCTTCGGCTCAGTCATTTGTATTCGAAATTCCCCATCATTTATAAGGTATACCTCCGTCTCCTTTTCTCGTCGTTCTCGACTCACCCTTCCTTCCTTCCTTCCTTCCATCAAACACATCACTATCATGGCAGACACCCTTTCCAACGATGACGGTCTACCATTGACGTCTCTCTACATCAACGGAACCTACCGTCCCGCAAGCACGAGTGCTACCTTCCCAGTCACCAATTCCTACACAGGCCGTATCGTAGGCCACTCCGCGTCAGCCTCCTCGTCCGACTGCGTGGAAGCCGTCGAAGCCGCTCAAGGCGCTTTCCCCGCATGGGAGTCGGCCCCGCTCGCATTCCGGCGGGATGTACTTTTAAGGACTGCGGCTATTTTGGAGGGAGAGGAGTGGAAGGAGAAGGCGATGAGGGCGTTGAAGGAGGAGACGTCGTCGACGGAGGGGTGGGCTTTGATGAATGTATTGTCTGGGCCGGGGTCGTTGAGGAATGTGGCGGGGATGGTGAATGAGGTTAGTGCATATGAACCGGTTTGATTTAGAAATGCCTGGTACTAACTACTAGCGGTTGTACTAGCTCAAAGGCGATACCTTTCCGTCCGTAAATCAAGGTGGAACAGTGTTTGTACACAGGCGAGGACAGGGCGTAGTGTGCGTTTCTTGTTGCCGTGCATTGACAAGTTCGCGCCCGTGCATCATTGTTCATGTGGCGTACTTATTATTTTGGTCCGCAGGTTCTCCATCATTCCGTGGAATGGACCCGTAACTTTGACGGGTACGTGCCTTTATCCCCGGCAATGCGTATGATGACACTCTCATAACTTGTATGCTTTTTCTTAGCGCGAGGCGTCGCGATCCCGCTCATATGTGGTAATACCGTCGTCTGCAGACCGTCAGAATACAGCCCACGAATAATCGGGCTCATGGTCGATGCCTTCCACCAGGTAAACCCTTACATCACGCCTCCCTTACAATCGAGACAGCGGTTGACAAATTTTTATTCTGTTTCTTTACACAGGCAGGCCTCCCACCCGGTGTTCTGAACTTCGTACCAATGTCACGGGACGAGTCTCCAACCTTAATCCAACAAATCATCGCTCATCCTCTCGTGAGGAAGATCACAGTACGTCTTTTTCTCTTTCTTTTGCGCATTGGATTAAATAACGTAGTTGCTCAAAATAAATTTAAACGTTTATTGACAACAGTTTACGGGTAGTGATCGGGTGGGCAGGATCATCGCCGCAGAAGCTGGACGTCACCTCAAACCGTGCCTCCTCGAATTAGGCGGAAAAGCTCCAGCTGTCGTATGTCCGGAAATCCATCCATGCACTGTGTGCTATTGTCTCCAGCTAAGTCATACACATCCAGATCCTAGAGGACGCCAACATCGAAGACGCCGCCCGATCCCTCATCTTCGGAGGTCTCCTCAACTCCGGTCAAATCTGCATGTCCACCGAACGCATAATCGTCCTCCGTCCCGCCCTCTCCGCCCTCCTCACCTCCCTCAAAACCCACATCTCCCACCTAAAATTAGGAAGTCCCTTCGAACCTTCTAACCATCTGTCTGCTCTATTCACGGAGGCGAGTGCGGAGAATGTTGTAAGGCTGTTGAGGGACGCGAGGGATAAGGGTGCGGAGTTGATTGTGGGGGATGCGACCAGGGAGGGTGCGATGGTGAGGCCGCATTTGGTCGTGGGGGTGAGGCCGGGGATGGAGCTTTGGGAGCGGGAGAGCTTTGGGCCCAGTGAGCTTTTCTTCGGGTTTAAGACATATCTGAGTGTGGCGGGTCGAGCTGAATTTTGACTGCTTTCTATGTGTTAGTTTTGGCCATTGCTGTGGTCGATACGGTTGACGAAGCGGTGGAACTCGCGAACGATTCGGAGTACAGCCTGGTTTCGTCCTTGTGGACGACCAATGTGCACAAGGCGTTCGAAGTGGGAAGTCGTATACGCGCAGGTGGAATTACAACCAATCAGACTTTTGACTCTATCTCCATTTCTCATGTTACCTTCTTCTTCATCCTCCTTAGGGTCAGTCAACATCAATGGGACCACTATGAACTCGGAAGCTGGAGAGGGCCAAGCAGGTCTGGGGTACGTCGACCCGTACCATGCTAAAGTATCTTCCACTCAGTCTGACCTTTCGCACCTTTCCTTTTGTTGGTACAGCGGATCCAGCGGTTATGGGAAGTTTAACGTGGAGAACTTCACGGATCGGCGGTCACTGATATTGCATGCTGAACATGAATCGTACCCTTTCATGGGACTATCATAAATCGGCCGCCGGCCGCCGTACCAGGCATTTTGTCCGCTCCTTCGAATTCGGGTTTGCCCTGCATGACTGGAAAGTTCGGAAGCCTTCAGTTTCTTCCACGCTGAGAGCTATTATTTACGCCACACAGGCTCTTGAGTCCGTACTGCCCGAAGTAGTTCAAACTGCCGTTTCTTGGTCAACAGTTCTACCCCTCTGAGTTCGCCTCCTCAACCACCCGATTACTCGACTTCTTTGCACGAAAGTATTCGACTTCGAGAGCGCTCAATGTTCGGATAGAGGGTATGCGTAAACGTTCATCGTCATCAAGCCCGTTTCCGGTCGCCATTCTTGCATTGCCACTTGTCTCGCGGTATCCGGTCTTCAATCTGCACGCGCGTTGATGTAGCTTTCAGCGTCAAAACCACATGGAATCGTCGAAGGCTTGCTCCCTACATCGGGCCTGCATAGCTGCTATATTTATTTGTGAGTCTTCGTGTTCCGATAGTTTCCTTGCACTCTCGGGTTATGATCGAATTTATGTAAGGTCGGTATCGCATATTCTCCTGATCCTTCCTGATCTTTTGTTACTTCGGTCTTTAACTAACTTCATTAATGATTGTTTCCCTTCGAAGCAGGCCTGAGGCTATGACCGAACTCTACTATCAGGACTCCTCCAGAAGACTCGACATTGCCTCCCTCGCATGCTAGACAGTACTCTGTGGTGTATCTATCACGTTCATCTTGCCCTTGATTCTCTTTGCGCGATAGTGATCCTCGCGCCAGCCGGTGTAGCGACGCTGGCTGACTGGCAGGACACTGGTGAGCATCGGCCTGACATAACATTCCAGTTCAGACTTCCGGAAGAGCCCGCTAGTAGTTATGCGCTTTTGCCGATGTGATCCCGATAATTTTGCGAGTCCGCGAGACACTCAGCACACCCTAGCTCTCAAAGTCCTTAGGTATCTCTTCTCTCATGATTGTTCCCAACGAGGCGTGTGCTAAGGCCTCATTAGTTTGAGCTCGTAGTTTCTGTAACCATGGCCATGCATGCCATGCTTTTGACTCGGTGCCCTTTTTGTCGAGTACAAGCTCATCACTGACACTAGGCTTTGTCTTCGATCCTTGCTCGAGCTGCTCACATTCAAAGCCGTGCGTGGAGTAATCGAGACAGACACGGCAAGTTTAGGCGTGTATCTGAGTCAAGAACGCTTCTACTAGTGGCGAACATCATTCATCTTAGAATAACTACAACGGCGTCACGGTTACGCCAGACGACGAATCGTAATGTTTTTCCAGTTGGTAAGAGAACAAGGTGGCCTTCTTCCATATATCGGGACATCCCATCGCAGTAGTAAGTGCCGTTCCTAGGGCTTCCGTACATGCGAAATCATATCTAACAGTCTACATCATCCCACACGTTCACCCAACTCACTCCACAGTCAGCCTACCCGCTGCAAGTTTGTTCTCCCAAGAAATCCTTGACTGTCCTTCTTGCTCATTTTAGAAAATTGCACACCTGATGTCTGCTTCGAGGTTACTGTACTTTTTCGCGCACAAGTTCGTGTCCCGTGTCCCATGGGTGCCGCGAACGAACTTGTGCCACGGGACAGTCCCACCCCATTGACGTGCACTGAACTTGTAAATGGGACATACCAAAAATTGACGACAAATTGACGAATATTTGAGAATATATTTTAGGGTCCTAAATTGACCTCAGGAAGGCCCCCAAGACACAATTTGGGCCAGATTTTGCTACTGGGTGAGCTCCCCCACCCAAATGCAGAGCATAAGTGGCTACTAAGCGGTCATGAAAGGTCGTATCCCTGAAAAAGCGTCCATGTTCACGAACATTGTCCCTTGTCCCGGTCTGCTTGCGAACCGGGACACGAACGGATTATGTCATCTCGGCAACGGCCGAGGGGCGGTGGCGTGAACTTGTGCGCGAAAAAGTACAGTATAAGCTGCCACCGCCTAGTTTCTGTCCTCCAACATCCCCTCCTCGAGCTCCGTTCAATTGTCAACTGCAAGGTTCGTGTCATTTTAGAGTTGCGCTGTTCTGAATCTTGTCATGATACGCCGTCTAAGCTATGCCGCCCTTACCTGTGTAGAATCCTCTGACATCTCTACGTTTGACATACCATCCTAGATCTATCGCTGGCGGGTTCCTAAGAATTTTCGCTGAGCGTGAGGAGGGTTATTTTTATCTCGGTGCGTCATACATAATCTCTGTCACTCCTGAAAAGTTCTTCTCCAGACACCTCAAGACTCGATGGCTGATACTCGGTGTATATGTAGATAAGATAAGTAGTCCTCGAAGACGCATCGGTGCCAGTGAGCCCAAGAACGTTCGCTATATAAGTCGCACTCTGGTACTGACCAGTGACCAAGTCGTCTGAATCAGGCTGTGCTTTTCACCACATCAACCCTGGGCCATCCGTCGCGACTCCCTTTCTCCAGTAATATTAATTGTGACTTGCGTGAGTTGCCATTTCGTCAATCCTGTCCGGGTGAACCTAAACTATGTTAAATACCACCCTCTGCCTCGTCAGATACCCCAACCAAGACTTGATGGCCACCGTGACTTCTCGGGGTACGTGTCCACATTTCCGCCGTTAGGAACTGCTACCACGGTGACTCACCATGCACCGAACATTCAACAGACTACCTCGTAGAACTGAACAACTACTGCCGGTCTCATAGCCTGGTACCAGTCTGGTCTACGAGCGAGCCTGAGCCTGCGATCGGCCCTTTTCGTAAAGCCGAACATACTGTCGACTTGATAAGTAAGTGAATCCTGCAACTCATTTTTTGCACTGATTGATAATGTACCGTGACCAATTCTAACGGCTGTCAACTCGCCGTTCTAGTATCTGGCGAGATAGTTGCCTCTGGGACTGGTACCACCAGGAATAAAGCAAAGCAAGCCGCGGCTTACAATTATTTGAGCACGCCAGTACATGGATCATGATTTTTGTACGTCCTTCCTTCGAACGCATTGGATGATGCTCGGTCATCTAAATATATCCAGTACATGTACAAAAAAAAAGTTGCAATACATGAGCTACATAGCTATACTCTCCTCGGACAATTAAGGCCAATGTCAGTACGTATGCCATTCCCATGGAAGGAGTATTTCACAGCGACATCGACGGACACCTGCAGCGTCAGCTTGAAAGTCATACTGTATATGATTGGTACAATCTCCTTCACCTCTAAGTAGTATCTTTTCTCGAAAACCGCCGTGTCTTGATCAACGATATTATTTGGTTTCTTGCACTGTACCAAACCTCCAAAAAGATGTGGCCCAAAACAAACACGTGTGGCGTTCTCAGTTCGTTTTCCCTCCACATGTAAATTACTTACATGTTCCCACCATCCAAATTCCTGTGAACAAAAGCTATTCCTAGAGCCCGGACGATGATATTTTTATGCACCATGGAACGTGTTCCCTGATGCATCTCGTCCGTTCTTGCCACGACATCGCCGACGTGGCGAAAGTCAGTTCAAAGAAATCTGGTTGATATGAACGCACGCGTCCGTGAAACGACGACCGCCGTCCTACCCGCCCCCACGCCAAGTTCCAACGTCCCCCGTAACCGAGCCCAAAGCCGTTACGTCTTTGTTCGTCTTTCGCAAACAAAAAGAAATCACCTTGAGGACTTGCGGCAGTTGTGCGAGGCTAACCTAACCCGAAAAGGTGCGGGTGCAGTATCTGACATGCAACTCCTCTATTTGAAAAGGCTGTAAGAAACTCATGGGGATACTTATCAGGCATCGCAACATTCTCATTCTTTCGTCTTGCTCAGCTCGAGAGCCTTTTCTCTTTCTCGTTTTTCGTCGATGTCTTGTTGAGAGCACGGGGGCACAGTAGCAGTAGCATTAATCCGGAATGCACTTCTCTTCCCTCCCAACGGCCCTGGTCGCACTTCTCCTTACCACTCTCCCCGCCCCAGTCACCTTCAACCTCCCAGGCACCCATGCCCAGTCTCAGTTCAGAGATCACACTGGTTCATTAGCACCACTACCAACGTCGACGAACGACCCCTTCCGTCCAGTCGCGCTACTCAAGCCGAAACGAGAGGATCCCCCAATATGCTGTCTGAGGCCAGCGGCATCATCTCTTGAACCAGACGATTCGGAGGTGTTTCTGTCGTTCGAGGAGTGGAAGGCGAAGAGGGCGGCGGAGGCGGGAGGCGTGCGGCGGGATGCTGCAGGGCAGGGTGCGTCGTCGTCGGTGGTCGAGCAGCAGCAGGCGGGTGCCACTCCAGATGCGTCCTCGTCTTCGAACGGTTCTGCTTCGTCTTCAGGCGGTGGTGGGCCCGTCGTCGGACAAGACAATGTGGACGGAGGCCCTGCGTCGTTTCAATCGTCGGAGCAGCCCCATACGGATTCGTTGCAGACGCTTTCTCCACATTTCCGGGTTCCCATCATCGACAGATTCAATTATGCTTCCCTCGATTGTTCCGCGCGCGTCCACAGCTCGCACAAGAGCGCCAAATCGGCATATAACATTCTCTCGAACAAGAAGGATAGGTACATGCTCAGCCCGTGTCCCGCGCCGGGAGAGAAACAGTACGTGGTCGTAGAACTCTGTGAGGATATCGTCATCGACACCGTGCAGCTTGCGAACTTCGAGTTCTTCAGTGGCGTGTTCAGGGAGTTTACGGTCAGTGTGGCGAAGACGCATGTGAGCGAGGGGCCTGGGCAGGTTGGGTTGGAGGAGTGGACTGTGGTGGGGACGTATGTTGGGAGGAATTTGAGAGGTGTTCAGGTGCGTCTCTTCTTCTACCCCTTTGTGGTTTTATTATATATTGAGCGAGCTGAGGTATTTGTATTTGCGTGCATAGTCTTTCCACCCGCCGACCTCGATCCGTGATTTCTACCGCTTCATTCGTATCGACTTTCATTCGCACTACGGGAACGAGTACTACTGCCCAATATCTCTCCTTCGTGTATACGGTCTCACACATCTCGAGCAATGGAAGTGGGACGAGTGGGAGGCCGCTAGTCGAGCGAAGTTGGAGCAGAACAACGGAGTACCCGCACCGCCAGCCGTCACAGAGACGATCGAGGAGGCTCCTCCATCTTCGTCCACGACCTACAGCGAGACTCAAACACAAACAAGTGTATCATCGTCTTCCTCTGTTCACGAGCCCTCGTCTTCGGTGTCGTCGACAGATAATGTCACTGTGGAGGTGGCATCGTCGGGAAATTCTACGGAGGAGATCCCAAGTGTCGAAGCGACGCCGACAGGAGAAGAGCCCGATACAATCACTTTCCGTCATAGTACAGACATCGCACCACCACTAACCTCCGAGGAAGCACCATCCTCCGATGTCCCGACCCCCACCCCTCCGTCTGATGCTACGCCAACTAACACCCAATCAGATGCATCACGCGCAGAAGAGTCATCGCCAACTCCCTCTAGCTCCTCTAATTCCTCTTCGTCAGTGACGACATCAATAATCGTCACGGAATCCCCGACTGCCGTTGCTTCTTCCTCTACAACCATAACAACAACGTCGACAATTTCCCTCTCCGCCACAAACCTCCTCTCTCTCCCTCCCCTCTCCTCTCCCCTCGTCCATCCACCACACTCTAGTGGCCCACCACCCAGCACCGGCGCCGAGTCCATCTATCGCACCATCATGAACCGTCTCACCGCCCTCGAAGCTAACACCACGCTCTACGCTCGATACGTCGAAGAACAAACCGCGGGCATCCGGGACGTGTTGCGTAGGATGGGGGAGGACGTGGGCAGGTTGGAGGGGATGGGGAGGGCGAGGGAGCAGGTTTGGAGGAGGGAGAGGGGGGAGATGGAGAAGATGGAGAGGGAGAGGAGGAGGGTTGAGGGGGAGGTGGGCGAGTTGGTTAGGAGGGTGGAGGTGCTGGTTGATGAGGTGTGTTTATCCCTCTATATTTTCCTCCTTTTATCTACGCTCGTCCAGTGGAATAACGTCGGCTGTGGAAATAGATCGTCCTCGAGAAACGACTCGGCATAGCCCAACTCTGCCTTCTTCTCGCTTTGCTCGTGTTCATGACTCTGACGCGCGGTTCACGCTCCGATCATATCATCCCTGCGAATGCGCGGCTTCGCGTTCCTGGGATGCGGGAGTGGGGAAGGCGGAATTTGAGTTTTAGTGGGGATTGGGTGAGTAAGCTGAGGAATCGGAGCGGGAGCAGGAATGCGAGTGTGGCGCCAGCGGGGCAGGGCAGGAGTAGGGAACCCTCGGGTGGGTATCTCTATCTTCCTTCGAGGGATCCATGCACATTTACTCTTACTTACCATGGGATGACTCGTGTATTATTTAGGGGAGAAGCACAAATTCCCGTCCACAGGCTCCGGAAGTCAAGAACTCCTCCGACCTTCAGAACCCAGACCTTCCGGCTCCAGCGCACCCGCCTTACCCAACATCACTCCCCATCCCTCCAACCCTCAACTCCCGCCCTCCGCTCCGCAACTCACCACCAACCTCCCGCAAAGCATCCGTCGAGATCGCGACAGTCGTTCTTCGGGTTCTACGTCAACTGTCGTTCCCCGTCCGATAACACCTTCCCATCCGCTTACGCTCTCGCTGTCTGCACGTCCACGTACGCCACGGCGTCTCAACGTCAACGCCCGACATCACTCACACAATCACGACCGACACGCGCATGCACACGCATATTCACGCTATCCAGGGCCTCCTACGACACCTCTACGATCCTCCTCCATGACCTTCTTACCCGCACAGATCTCGGCTAGTACGAGCACACCCATCGGCGGCGTCAGCGTTCCTGCTCATATTAATGGGGACAGCGGCGGCAGTGGCGGCGGCGGTGGTGGTGGAAGTGGTGGTGGGAGGGTCCTGGTAGGCCCTGTCCCGCGCTCGGCGAAGAAATGGGCTCGGAGCGCGCATTTGCATGAGGTCAGGAGGGTGGTCGTGCAGAGTCCGAGTCTTAGTCTTAGTCCTCCGATGCCGGAAGAAGACGAAGGCGGGCCGGATGGATTGTCTTCTGGTTCTGGTTCTGGAGATTTGACGGATACGGGGAGGGGAGGTGTTGTGATTCGACCTGTGGGGTCTAGGAATGTGGGCGGTGTGGGTGTGGTTGAGGTGCTCGAGACGAACGGTAAGGGGAAGCAGAAGGGAGGGAGGGTTGGGAATGTGTTGGGTCCGCCTTTTGTAGAAGGTGTGAGGCATGGTGGAGAGGGGAATGGAGAGGCAGATAGCGGGGAGGAGACGTGGGTTGATACGGATGCGGATTCGGAAGCAGAGGGAGAAAAGCAGTCAGGTGGCTGAGTATCTTCCTCCTTGGTCCCTTTACTATGCTCGCTCAACGCTGAACGCTGAGCGATCTCGCGCTCCCACCGACTTTGTTGGTTTTCACCCCTTTGATTTTCCTTATGCTACATATTGTCATCTATCCTTCTCTTATTCCGTCCTGTGAATTGTTCGAATCTTTTGGCCCTGGTGGATTCTCCCTGTCTTATGTTTTAATCGTCATCTTTCTTCCGGTAAACTACGTTCTGGTCATCCTCTCCTTATCACTGCCTGTCCACAATACGCATTGTACATATACTCGCATATATCCGATCGTGATGCACTTTCCAGCTGGCACTCCATTCACATACATATTGATACAAAGAGCTTTGGGACTTTGGATGCAGTAACCTGCCTGAGGACCTCGTTGGGATATGGTATGATATCGAAAACTCTGGTGAGTTCATGTGAGGCCCATGAAGGGATACGATCTATGTTCGGCATGTAAGATCAGGGACCGTCGATCGGTGAAGCTCTCCACGTTGAATTTCCCATAGCCGCTGGTACCGCTGTATATAACACCGAGGTACAAGGGTTCGAAGGGTCAGACTGAGCGCAACGGACGGTTATCGTGCGGGATAAAGTCCTACGTACCCCAGTCCTGCTTGGCCCTCTCCAGCTTCCGAGTTCATGGTCGGACCGTTGATGTTAACAGACCCTGAAGGTAATGGAAAGAGTGACAAGGTGAGGTTGGATGATACTAAAGTATACTATGATTGATTTTGAAACTTCACCTGCGCGGATACGACCTCCCACTTCGAAGGCATTGTATACATTAGTCGTCCATAGGGACGCAACTAGAGTATAATCCGAGTCGTTCGCCAGTTCTACAGCCTCGTCGACCGTATCAACTGGAGTGATAGCTAAGACTAACATACGAAGCCGAAGTTCAGCCTGAGTTTGAGTCTGATTGACGCCACACTGCGCCAGACTTGAAAAGCGCGAAACTGGAACAAACTCACTCGGTCCGAAGCTCTCCCTCTTCCACAGCTCCATCCCCGGCCTCACTCCCACAATCAAATGAGGCCTCACAACGCTTCCCTCCCTCGTCACATCTCCCAGAATCACCTCCGCGCCCTGCTCCTGAGCGCTCTTCAATAGTCCCACAACGTTTTCCGCACTTCCCTCCGTGAACAATGAAGAGAGAAGGGTAGAAGGGTCAGAAGGGTCCCCGATTTTCAAATGTGCTGTGTGTTTCTTGAGAGCTGCGATGAGGGGCTCAAGCGCAGGACGTTGGACGATGATGCGTTCTGTGGACATGCAGATCTGCCCGGAGTTGAAGAGGCCGCCGTAGACGAGGGATCGAGCTGCGTCTTCGATATCGGCGTCCTCGAGTATCTAGACACAACGATTTCGTCCATGAGCTTGATATTTCTCGATAGTCAACCGGTGTCATGTAGAACATACGACAGCTGGTGATTTACCACCTAGTTCGACAAGGCAAGGTTTGAGGTGGCGACCAGCTTCTGCGGCGATGATCCTACCGACACGATCACTGCCTGTAAACTAGTGCCATCCAGAGTAAGCGCATGTCTCGAAATGGAGTTCGTGGAGAAAGCTTACCGTGACCTTCCTCACAAGAGGATGGGCGATGATTTGTTGAATCAAGGTAGGAGAGTCCTCCCGAGACATGGGTACAAAGTTCAGAACTCCCGGTGGGAGACCTGCCTGTAATGATACTTTCATCCGCCATCACAATTACACAGTATAATGATGTGAGCTCACCTGGTGGTACGCATCAATCATGAGCCCAATGATTCGTGGACTGTATTCAGAGGGTCTGCAGACGACAGTGTTACCGCATATGAGCGGGATCGCGACGCCTCGGGCTAACAGAAAAACTTATGAGGATACTCTCATATGTAGCACAGGAGAGTAAGGTAATTACTCGTCAAGGGTACAGGCCCATTCCACGGGATGACGGAAAAGCTGTGGGTACAAGAAGTACGTCACATGAGCACACGAATTCGTACGGAGTCAGGAAACGCACACGACGCCATGTCCCCTCCTCTGAACAAACACCTTCCCACCCGGGTTCACAGACGGAAAGGTATCGCCTTTGAGCTGATACATATATATGAATCAGTCATCTCATGCACAGACAAAAATTTGCGAACACCCACCTCATTGACCATCCCTGCCACATTCCTCAGCGCCCCAGGCCCAGGCAATATATTGAATGAAACCCAGCCCTCCGTCGACGAAGTCTCCTCCTTCAGCGCCTTTCTCGCCTTGTTCTTCCAATCCTCGCTTTCCAGAATATCTGCAGCCTTCAAAAGTACATCGCGCCGGAAGGCCAGAGGGGCTGATTCCCAGGCAGGAAAAGCACGATGAGCGGCTTCGACGGCTTCAACGCAGTCGGCTGGAGAGGCCGACGCGGAATGGCCTACAATACGGCCGGTGTATGAATTGATCACGGGAAAGGTGGCATTCATGCTTGCGGGACGGTAGGCTCCATTGATGTAGAGCGATGTAAACGGTAGGCCGTCGTTAGAGAGGGTGTCTGCCATAATGATGATGGGGAACTAACCCCTGACGAAGCTCGTCCATCTTATAAACGCTTGAGAACACGATACCTTGGTCCGGATCTGCCGTGGGGCCTCTTAGACAGAACCGGGATCCTTATGACTATAGGGAATATAGAGGATGTCATGGGAAAATACAAGAGACACGCGGGTGAAGAATCCCGCACATAGCTCAGCGTTCGGCTATTGGGAGAACATGGGTGAGAAGACGAAGCTAGATGGGAATAGTTATTAAACACATCGTCAGTGGCGCATTGGTACTGATACCGATAGCCGAATGATTTAGGTAACAGAGGAGATGGGCACCTAGTATGTTTATGGCCTATCTGTCTATGTACATTGGCAAGTTTGCGGTCATCCATAACGTCTTGGAAGTGAGGTGCGTCTTCACCGCGAAGCTTGCCCGTTCCCTACGTGTACTTATGCTCCCGGTCAGACCTGGAGTCTCGCTTTCCACCGAATATTAGCTGAAGCGAAGGGGGTTTGATTCATAGCTGATTGAAAATTTTTCAAGCTTCAACAATAATATTCGATTTTCGTGATTATCAGCAGCACTGTGAATGCTTGGAAGAAAGACCGGTCAATACGAAACCGTCACAGGCAGAAATAGAGTGTGACGTACCATAAATGTATTTCTGACCTGTATGCTTACAGTCTTCAGTTATAAATCGATGAAAGATAATGGGAGAAAGGTGGAAACATAACCGACGTTACTTATAACAGTAACTGAGGCTACCAGTCGATCTCTGCGCCCCACTCCTCATCCTGTCGCCTCCCCGCTTCGTCGCAAATGTCCAGCCACTCATCCCAAGTCCTCCTGAACGAGTGGTAATGGTACACAAACTCGACCAGTGACGGTATCAGTACCCTCATCGTCTCCGCATCCTTCAGGCCCGTCTACCTAAACACAGAACTCTCTGAATCTTCGCGGCCTGCAGGCCTAGCCCTGCCCACCCTGGTACGCCTCGGAAAATCAATCGTCATAAGTTGAAGATTATGGGGAAGCGAGGTGGAAGGGACGGTGAAAAGGGTGGAATCCAGCTGTTTAGGGGTCCGAGTGTAGGCCTTCCCCCGTCGATTACAGTGTTGCCCAACTCAAAGGTACTGAAGTGCTGGAGTGAGTGGAAGGACTTGATTGACTGTCCAAGGAACGGGGTCCGAGTCGCCCCAGTTAGTGGGTATGTCAGATAAATCGAGGCTGACGAGGTTCTTCCCGAATTCTCGTATCGCATCCAACCCAGACCAAAGGATCTCTCTAGTGAACTGTTGTGTGCCGTGATGCATGGAGGAGAGATGCGTGAGGTTTCTCATTTGTGCGAGAAGAGTGAGAGAGCAAGGCCAGAGGTTGACTTCAAAGAGAGTGATTCGTTCCAGAAAGGCGGAAAGGGCGGGTGCAAATAACATCGGATCTTACGCCCCAGCGCTTTCGTCGACATTAAAACATCTTCCATGTCACTCGTGCAATTCTGGATGGGATTGGAGGAAAGTCACGAAAGAGGGACTCGGAGTTGTAGGTGACTATCCTAACCCTGAGCACGCGCAGATTTTTGGACTGATGCAGGACAGTACTTCATTTGTTTTTTTTGGTCGCCCCATGGTAATTGAACAAACCTCAGACGAAATTATGCGGAGTAGAGACCCTATGTCGCCAAGGGGGTTGTGGAAAGTGAATCCCGGATCGTGCTTGAACGTGCGGCCACACTGAGCCATAACTGTGGTTTGTTCCCAGAAAGGAAGGTAGCTGGGTCGGCTTCTCCTGTCGCATCTCTCAGGCGGCTGAGTGCTCTCGTCACAACGGCGAGTCTCTCCTCATATGCATATACGTTCACTGGTTGATACTGGCAATTCAAGCTAGATGTCTGAAATGTAGTCCCTCGAGGCCCAGCGCGAGAAACCGAACGTCTTCATAACCCTCGCCACTACCGCCCTGCAGCGCCACCGAGTCGGAGAACCCTCCAAGTTGGAACGGCACAACGATAACATCCTCCGTATTCTGCAACATGTCACTGCTCTCATCACAACTGGAACCCCAAGAAACATCCCTAAACCGAAGAACGACCCCAATGCGTCTTGTGTCGTCGTCGTCACTGCAAACGTTCGAAACGATTCCATCCGCACGCTTCTAGTTACCACAAATAAGAGACTTGGAATGTCTCCCGTGGAGACCAAAATAGACTCATTGGGAGGGAAGAGGGAAGGCGAGGATGTTCTCAGCAATTGGGAGAAACGAGAGTGCGTCTTCTCATAACCTTCTTTTACCACGGCCGCGTACTAACCCCTTGTCATACCCTCTTAGCCTTGCCTCGCACTACGATAATGTCTTCGATATCCTCGATTTTTTTCGTCGCAACCCAGCGACTATAGCCCAGTCGCTCGAACGCTTTGAGATTCGCTGTGCTCAGTTTCATTGTTATATCGTGAACCACGCCTACTATAAGATCGCCGCGCGCATTGACAAGGGCAGCCAGACCTGGGTAAAACATCCTCTGGATACGCTGGCCTCTTACAGTCTCCCGAACCTGCGTAGCCGTCTCTCCTTCCCCGAGACCTTCACCATCCGCAAGGCACTCGCAGAACGCCTTCAAGGCGAATACGGTATTCACTCGTCCTCCTCACCACCATCCGCTCGGGTCACAAGTGACAACGTTGGCCAGTGGATTAAAGTCATTACGGAAACCTTCGTCGACATACGAACCATTTTCTTCAACGACAGTAACAAGTGCAAACCGAATATTGGAGAAGACGACGTGATGAAAGCCGTCGACGATTTGGTCATCTTTCGAGACTTATTGCGGTGCAGGATCGTGGAGTTTTTGCTGTCGGATCAGCTCCTCGCAGAGGAAATGAATAGGAAACCTAGCGATCTTGGTGACAAGGCTAAACGTACGCGTTGTATCTTTGATTCACCTTACTCACCACTGAACTCGTGAATGAACAGAAGCTTCATCTGCGGCGATGGTCTCCGCAGAGCCTACGAATGGAGAAGAGGATGCTCGGAACAGCGACAGGGAGGGAGCCGAAGACGACGAAGACGACTTTGACGGTACCGTCTACTTCTTTGCGTGCAGCAGCCTGTCCTTCTCTACTCATACTCTTGCATCAGTCTTCGCCGGGGATCTTGTGCCAGAGCCATCTGAGAACCCCATCATCCGTTATCTGAAGACGATTGTTTCATGGACTACAGCCGTCGACTCTCTTGCCCTCAAGCCTCCCCCGCTTCCGATTCAAGCACATAGTATCGCTGTTCCACATCCTACCATTCCAAACCTCGACCAGTACATTGCTGAATTCGAGGCCACTCTTCTCGAGAACTCCGACTTACACGACTCCGAGAAAGATACGGCGCGAGATCTCTTGAGTCCGCGTATCGCCGGTGTCCGTCCAATTTTCAACCTGACTGAAAAGACCGTATCGAATGCGCCGATACATGCTGAGGCACTCCTAATGGCCCTTTCTCGTTCGTTTTACTCCTCGGAAGCTGCGAATGTCGCTCAATCCGTGTTGCATGTCAACGCGGTGGACCGACAAGTGCTTGAGGAGATATTCCAAGTTCGTCGTCTGTATCTTCGATCTATCGTATGTTGACTTTCTGACTGGCGCCGTTCTTCTGCTGACCGGTCAGACTGAGCCTACACCGATCGCCATCAGCAAGAAATGCTGCTGGTGCTGCTGGGAGCTATATCAGTACTGGCACCCTGACAAGGCCGAGTCGAAAGATGGTCAATCCTCCGGTGCCCCCGACCTCGTTCTCGTAGGGAGTCACTCGATTATCTATCCTTGGTATCCGCCCCCGATCCCTGTCCCCATTCAGTTTCTACAAGCTGCGAACAATGATGATCGGCATGCTCGAGATAGGTGCCAAGTCTGGGCAATCATCAGCTGGCGGCTCTTTCGATGAACTGCCGGTGGACATCGTAAGGGGTATCTCCAAACTCAGACAACTCAAGAACACTAAATGACCTAAAAGTATGTCTTCTTCGATGACCGTGCCTTCCCCCGTGCCCCCCATTCCAGGTGGTCCTCCGGTAGCTTGATACCACATGAAAATGAGGGCGCAATGCAATAACTTGCATATATCTATTACCGATAGCATCATGAACTATTTTTTTTCTCACCTCTTAGTAGGTTAAGTATGTCGATGCGCCTCATGGGCTGATGTGTAGTGGAAATTGTGCTGGTCAAGGTGTGGACATGATGGTAGAGGTGTTCTAACTGTAGGATTGAGGCGAGGAGACATTGTGTCAGTGGTTAAATTTTTTGAGTCATAAGTTACGAAAATCAAGAATGCGTTGACAATTACTCGGAGTTAACTCGTTCAACGTCGGGAATATTCGGAGAAGCACACCAGGTGCCACCGGAGCTTACGGCACCACAACTCAGGTTAACTCGCAAAGGGATCCATAAATATTCACATATGCCGAGTTCAGAATTAGGGGGCGAGCAGAAGCTACTTAGTGAACGAGGAAACTGAGTTGGAAGAGTGAATGAAACAGAGATAGAGATGCGGATTTGGATTCAAAGCAAGCGAAAAGTGCGGTCAGCAAGCTCAGAAGCTCGAAATGGCCCACTACACAACACCACCGACGACAGCAACACTGCACAGCGATCCACCATCCACCATCCAAAGTCCGTTCCATTCGATCATCCACAGCACATCACATCGCATCAGGTACGCTGCTACACTCTCAGCGCAGGTCCTGAAGAACACCGCGCCTTGGAGCGTGCAGCATCAATCCCGGGATGATTTATGTGCACTGGATAATAGAAGATGGTAAGTAAAGGATAAGCAGTTAAAATGAAGACGCGACGTACAGAGATGTCGCTGCCAGCGGCCTTGGTGTTCATGATGAGGGCAACGATGAGGCCTGACAAACCAAACTATCAGGGGCTGTTCTGCCAGCTAAAGGTTAGGACGGCGACACGTACCGTAAAGACCCAAAACTTCGGCGAAAATGAGAATGAGGATCTATGGAATAGGATATCAGCATCGTGGATCCAAGTATAGTTTCATAGGGCCAAGTGGGTATTGAGGTATGCCACAAAAATCTTCTCGGTGGACAAATTTTAACTGGCGTGAACCACATCCTGAGGTACCACCGCGTTCCCCGGACTGCCCCATAAAAACAGAGTCAAATACAAGATGGAGTAACGCACCATGCCGACGAACAGCCGTGGCTGCTGAGCAGTTCCACGGACACCAGCGTCACCGACGATACCGATGGCAAATCCAGCAGCGAGACCAGCGAGACCGACGGAAAGACCGGCACCGAGTTGGACGAACCCTTGGTACAGAGGCATGATAGGCTCCACTATAGACCACCGACACAAACCGCGAAGAAGAAACCGAGTAAGTACTACCATGGAGAGGGGTTATGATACAGACATACGGTTGGAGGAGATGAGAACAGCTACGACGAGACCGTAGATCTACGCCGCAAGTACAAAGTGAGCGTAAGCGAAAGCAACTACGGCGCAAAGTGGATTAGGACGTACAGCAATGATACCAGCCATGATGACGGGGACGACGTTCTTCATCATGAGGTCAGGTCGCAGGACTGCCATGGCGGAGATACCAACACCGGACTTGGCGGTACCGTAACTGAACCACCAAAGTAATACAATGAGCCCATATTGCACTTCCTGACGTCGTCCTTTCCAGTGGAGAGTAGGCTGAAGCGCCGAGACGCGACTCTTGGCCCAAGCAGGTGGACGACATGTTCAAGCAACGACTATTGAAGACATACCTGGCACCAATACCTATTCAGTGACGCCAGTAAGTCAGTATGAGCTATTTCAGTGATACACGAAAACAAAGCATACATGCGAATACAATGGCACTTGTGCAGCCCTAAAACACCAACGAAAGTCGCGTCGTCAGTAAACGGCGCCAATTCTACCTCCCGTCACCAACCAACACTGACCATGGCACCAAAAAAGGGAGCGTATACGGGGCAAAGGTCGGAAGACATTTCGAGCGAAGGCGAAGGGAAGGGCTGACGACGAAGAGAGAGTTATTGGGGATGTGCAAGACGGCGACGAGAGTCGAGCGCACGTCGCCCGCTTAGGTGCGTCCCCTTCGCGGCATCTCCCGACAGCGGACCTTCAAATCATGCCGCGTACACATTCACACGGTCAATGAACGAGAGCCATCCATCCCTCAGACAACACCCAAGTATACGATAACCAAGGTCGAAAGGACATTTGTCGTATCTTTTGGTATCGACGAAAAGTCATTCATCCATCCACAATAAATATTCGAAGGCTTCACAGATCGTGACCGCCCATGGCATAGGCTTCAACGTTTTTTGAACTCTCCTCATCTAATTGACAAATCTCAGGCATTTTTCTCTTACTCAAGTCAAACGCGATACGAGGGACCAGGGTACGGACGGAATCTCATGATTACCCTTGAGTCGATCCTGGCGAATTTGTCTTCTGGATGGTGAACTACGTTCTCTCTTTTGCATCATACTTTCAGTACTCCCATGGAGTGGTAGGAAAGCGCGCACTACTCACTAGCATAGTACGAGCACATCCTTCCCGGACCAGTACACAAGCCGGTCATCCAACCTGTCAAGGAAATCTTGGGATACGCATCCAGCCTGAACACTGTGGTTCCATACTGGGTAACTTCTACTTTATGATAATCTTTCATACTAAGACGAGTACGAACATGATACTCCAGAAATGAGACACTTTGAAGACACCAAAGGTTGTCTTGACTCCCTCTGCTATAGTCTCCCCATCTTATATCGTCAATATCGCTGATCGTATCGAATCGAGGGATCATCAGCACCCATCCGGCACAGTCATATCATCGACATAGTTCGCAGCATTGACACCCAAGCCACGACTGGCAAACGCATTCCAAAGGATACAGGTATTTGTTCCGTTGTAGCGGTTCGCGTCGGCTTGGATGATAGCGTCACGGGCGGTTACGACTAACAAACCGTCGTCAGCTATATAAAAACAGGAGGCAAGGGAGCGAAAACAAGGCAGTAATGGGTGGTTCGGTGAACGTACAGGTGGGGTTGCAAGGTTGCAGGGGCAGAGCGTCTATGAAGAGGTGGAGGAAGACGGTGTTCCCTTCGCTTCCACTGGTGCATGGACGAGCGCGTCAGTTTTTTTCTTGCAGCTATTGCATGAAAGGCAGCGATACGTACGTTGGGTCAGTACGAGCTGTAGAAGAGAAGCCGTGTGCGTCAACGAGAGAGGCTAGCATGTTATGCAGCATATTCGCCCAGATTTCACCGATATCTTTTTAAAACGAGAGTTGTGGCGTCACAACTTTGTGAAATAAGGCTCAGAGACAGGGTGGACATACCATGTACTTCGTCGAGGGCGGCAACACTACCGTACGTAAGAGGGTTCGTAGTCCTATTGTTGAGCATGATACGTAAGCTCCAATGTCCAAGGCCGGTAGTGAACAAAATACGCACGTCGACGTCGAGTATGGGTGCGACCTGATACCAGCAGTGTTGTTCATAACGTACTGACCAAGGACAAAGTCAGCGACATCAGGGCCATCTTGTTCCAACCAACTGGATTTTATGGCATCAGTCGTCATAAATCACAACGCACATTGTCCAATGAGATATAGCACGCACTCCGCCATAGCATCCGACCATCCCTCGCCCAAGCCAGCAGACTCAGTAGACTGTAAACAGTCGGCATTTCCACCACCGGTCATTCGGTTAGTGATCCCATGTGTGTTCTCATGACTGACGATGTCGTTCTCTAGGGCACCATCGCGTTCGGGCTGTTGCTCTTGTCAATCTCATCTCAACATTCGAATAATATATATGCGTACCGATGTGTAAGTCCAGAGGAACATCCTCATACGTCCAGAGAGACCACTGAGTCCCAATGCTCTATCAGCATATCGGAAACGCCGAAACATATGAGGACACCGAAGGACTCACTCAGGAAGCGTCGTGAAAGCCGAGTTATCGGTGAACAGCGAATCCTGCACGCTAATCGTAACCCTATCCGGCCCAGCGGTTCCTCCCTTACCAAAATTATTATCCTGGAAGTTGAACGCCGCCTCCGTGAACCCATACAGATAAGAAATATCGTGAATTGTATTGACGACGTAAAACGCGTTGGTCACGGCGGCGTTGACATTGGTAGCGGTCGTAGGGTCTGCGCTTGGGTCCTGAACGTACGCGAAGTTGAGGCCGGTGGAGGACTCGGGGGTTGTGCCGGTGGTCTCGTCGGTTTTCCATGAAACGGCATTATTTCCGCTGGCGAACGGAGGACATATCAGCGTGGTAGTTGGTACGGCTGACGTAGAAAGGGACTGACGAAGTGTCAGTGCTAACAGTCGTGCCATCGAGGCTGTTCCAGCCATAAGGCGAAGCAGTCGTGTCCATAGGATCTGTGATCGTCTGGAACCCTTCCGTCAAATCCTCCTCATCGATAGGCAATACGAGGAACTTCAATTCGCGTGAAATTCATGTCTATTAGCCTTCTGCGCCACACAATCTTTGACGGTACTCACCGAAGCCCTCGCCACAAAGTCCGTAATCGACAAAACCTTATTCTCATGTGCATCCACGAACGCATCGAACCAATCGCCAGTCGTATCGTTCTGGATATGAAAGGCGTGTGTGAGCGCGACACTTCCATCCTCGAGGGCTAGGAATTCGAGTCTTGCTGCTATGTCAGAGTTATAAGTGCCGGAGAGCGTTTGTTCGGCGGTGCTGATGGCGTCCTCGAGGGAGACTGAGGGGGAAGAAGACGGCATTGTACCTGTGAGAAATATGATTTGATAAGCGTCAGGTATAAAAACAATATTGCGGAATATAAATACTTGGTGTCACGAACGAAGAGCCGAATGAAGCGACTTTTCCGTCCATTTTGAAGGCCACGTTGGCGACAGCGTTCGCGAACGGAATACCATCCTAGTCAACAAAGCATCAACGAGGCACGCAATGACTAGCATGACAGTATGTAGGAAGATCTAGAGACGTACGTGTTGTTGCCTAACAAACGCGTGCTGAGCTACTTCACCAGCGAAGCTTGACTTCAACGTCACGGCGTCCTGAGAAATACCGAGTTTGGACTGCACGAAGGAGAGAGCAGCGTCGTTTAAGTCGAAGCCGTCTACGCGAGTAGCCAGAGGGTGGTCCAAACCCTCCACACCGAACGTCTACAATAGAGATGATTCACAGCGGCAGCACACGCAAGTGATTGAGAAAGAGGGGAGACATGGGAAAAAAGGGAGACCAGAACCCACTTCGAACGCCGACGCCGGGTGGAAAGTGACCAGCTGCAGACCAGAATCTCTTCCTACAAGTCGCGTACGCGTTGTTCCGTACTTAGTAGATAAAGGCCAAGGAGCAGCGACAGCCCCGGAGGTACCCAGTAAAGCCAAATAAACAGAGCCAAAGAGTTTGGTGAAGGAAAACACCATGACTTTCGAGGGACAACTAGTTAGCGACTGCTGAAGACTGCGTCACGACTGAAGAGGGGGGAACTGAAGTGAAAACGAAGGTCCCTAGCCAGGCTTTCACATCGTCCGCTCTATCTGTTTATATACTGTCTGCTTACGGCTATCGAGTACGTGAGGGCCTCTGTTGGTTACAGGTGAGAGACGCGCCAGGAGCACTCAATTCTTAGACCAAGCGGGCAAGCATACGGTACAGTATATTGAGCTAGATGATCCGGAACCAAGCCATGCTCTTCATCCTTATGTAAAAGGTACGCCGTGAAGATATCTTCTCCTGAGACAAAGCAATCTGTCTGACACCACGTAGTGCGCATCAAGTGTGCATGTCTGTCCCGCGACGCAACAACAGCAAGGAGACTCCTATGAATTCCATGGATTTTACCAAGAGGACGCCGAGTTATATTCCTGCAAACATAAACCACTGGCATGTTGGCGGCTTGCACGAGATGACCAAGCGGTTCGCGATGATCTGGGAGCACCAAAGAGTATCAAAGGAGAAGTAAGAGAACAACCGAGTGCGCACTGCGTTGGGCCTTTGTGACATTCCCAGAGGAGAAACGAAATAGAAACGGGATGTCCATTGATGCTAACTCCGTAGCCTAAACCCGTACTAGTAGTAGGAGCTGGTGAGAAGGGCAGGATGCCAAGAAGCTGCACGCGGGGAGAAGTGTTGGCACATACGACCAGCTTTTGGAGCAGATGCATGCCTGTAATTCCATCAATTGCAAGTGAGTTTGATGTGAAGCGTGAGCAGTATGAGAGTCACTCTCATGAGGAGGATTCAAGCTTGTGACGGCACGAAAGCTGAAGTTGAACCGTCCGGCAAAGTCCGAGGCGCCACAAGCCGCGCTGTGGCCCACAAACATCACCAAACTCTTCCTCCATGAACGAGTAGTAGAAAAACAGCGCGATGATAGGCCGCTACCTTGGGGCCATTAATCCCTGTTATATATCGGCAAAACCTGTTTCACCATCGGCTTTTCCATAATTTTGTATACCACCAAAAAGGGGTCCATGCCTGGTGTGGGTGAGGATATCCAACAACATGTTTCGTTAGTTCGAACAACAGATATATGTAACTCAGTATTAGTCCAAGAAATCACCACCGCATCCTAACATACTTAACACATCCAAAAGTAAAACCCCACTCAAGCCGTCAAATCACAAGCATAATCCCTCAAAGCACACCAAAGCGGCTGCAACGGAATCGTCTCCACCCCCCTCTGCGCCATCCTAAAGCTCAACTCATGCAGCCTCGGCAACGCACTAGTCACATTGCCCCCCGGGCCACTCCAGAAAAGTTCCGCCGACGCCGCCGCACGCGGCCAGACCGTCGAATCGAGCGAACCAGGGCCAGACTGTTCAGTCCAGAGGAGCTGTTGGCCGCCAAGGACGAGAGAGGCTTCGGAGGAGGTCATGTTTGCGGTGGGGTCGAATGTGTAGGCGTATTGCCAGGTTTTGAAGGGGTCGCACCAGGAGGCGCCGGCGGGGTAGGAGCCGACCCAGCCACCGTGGCCGCAGTCCTGTAGGGGAATGCAAGAAGATTAGCGTCGGAGACTATGAAGGGAACAGAGAGGGACGAGAGGACGTACGAGGTAGAAGTAGTCGGAGGGAGCGTGGACGAGCTTGAAGCCTGCTTGAACGATAGCGAGAGCGTTGGCGGAGCTTATCCAAACGAAAACGACGGTGTCGTTCGACAGAGTAACATTATGGTCGAGGACCATTTCTGTCAATCACGTCGAACCATCAGAAACGTCACCCAAACCAGAACCAAAAAAAGGGAAAACAAACCTTCCCAAACAACCGGCGTCTTACCCACCGCTTCCAACGCCTGATGGTTCACCACCACGAAATCGCTCAACATCTCCTCGAACGTCGCTCCCGTCGCATTCAACGCGCTCTGCGTCTCGTTGTCCCAATCATAACAGTTTTGGTTGATCTCGTCTCCTCCGGTGCTGAAGTACGGCGAGGGGAACATGGAGGCGGCCGCGGTGAGCATCCCGGCGGTGAATTGTTGGGTCTCGTTGGAAGTGATGCGGAGTTGGCCGGCCGGGGGTTCATTGGCGTAGGTTGCCCAGGGGGTGAATTCGGGGCATGCGATGTGTTCGGGGTGGGAGAGGTGGATGACGCTGGTCTGCAGATCAGAGGTGGTTTATGTGAGCCTCAACGAAAATGAGAGCAAGTCCAAATATCATGACTTACGTGACCAGGAGTGTCAATTTCGACTATAACGTCGATCCCGCGCTGTAGATCATGCACTCGATCAGTAAATACCTAAGTCTTGAAATCTAAAGAAGCACATACAGCACCAGCATAAGAAACGATGTCGGCGACGTCAGAGGATGTATAGACCGAGCTATTATCATAGGCTCCAGTCTCCGAAAGCTCCATGTAACCGTCGATTTGGAGAGGGAAACTCTGACTGTCCACGACGTGCCAGTGGAATGTTGTCATCTAAATCGACATCTTCAGCTCTAATCCAACTACCACAGCATTGGGTGGAAACATACCTTCACCCAGCTCATCGCGTCCAAAGTGCGTTTAATGTCCGAAACAGGGAAGCTAGTAGTAACCGCGTTCATCAGCTACTCTTGACGCCTCGGCTGGATGCTAGTTTCGTCAACTCACTAGTTTCGCGAGGTATCGAGCATGAAACCGCGGTACGGCTGTACAACACATGTAGCATGAGCGCCCCGCACATCCACATCAATTACCTCACGACGGCAATCAAAGTACAGTACTCACGTATGCAGGTGAGTCCTGAATCGTCACAGGCGCCGACACGGTGTAGATCGCATCCTCATGGGTATACCACAATTGCTCAAAGGTCGTCAAACCCCTGAACAGCCCCAAAGTCGAGTTGGCACTGATCGTCGCCGAAGAACCATCCGCGGGAACAGTCAACGAGTAGGTTTCGACCCTTTCCTCAACCAGAACCTGACTCTCTTCCGTGATGCTCTTCGCGTCGCCAGTGCCGGTGTACTGCAGGACTAAAGAGAATAGGGTGCTTGCGTTGGAAAGCGAGTCGGCGTCTACGGAACCACGACCGACGACGAGACGTTCGAGGCCGTCTGTGGCGATGTAGTTTGTGGTGCGGTCGATGGCAGCTTGGAGGTCATCAGGAGTAGAAGAGAGGCCAGAGGTTTGGATAGAGAAATTGGAGTCAAGTTTGAGTGTGGATGATCCGAGTTCCAAGTTAGAGGGCAACGGCCAGATAGCGAAGACAGGTGCAGAAGCAGAGAGCAGGAAGGCGCCCTTCACTAGAAGGGAGGAAAACGAGGGTGTCATGGCGAAACGCAGCCTCCACGGACCTAGAAAGTTGGCACGAAAGGAGAGAAAGAGAGGGGGTACAGCGAAGCAACGGACGCGACGCGCTCTTTTATATACCGTGCGCTGGCTTGTTCAACCGGCGTGCTTCTCTACTGGAAGGGGATGGTTCGGACAAGGGGCTGGGCCTATATATGAAGAGACAAGGGGCGCTCCGCCATCCTGCTGTATGTATTCCTGTCTCCATGATGAACGATGTTTTCCTATCCGAGGGCGCTGCACATGCCCTACACGCCCGTCGCATATGACTGTCAAGAGTTTACAAGTGATTTCATGTGTGCTCGAGGGGCGCTAGACTTGATGGGAGTACGTACGATACCCAGCAGGGGCGGGCAGACTCTATTTTTTGATGTTGATTACCCCGCCAACGAAGTCAGCCGATAAGTTATCCTCCGGACGCTGCATGGCTCTGTGGAAGACCACGAGGTAGCAAATGAACGCGAGATGGGAATATTCTTGTCGCAAATTCGACGAAACAAGCAACTGGTTTCGCGAACAAGACGGTTGTCGAGGAGTGGCTTGGAAAGGAGTAAAGAGAGGAGAAGCTGCCACTTAGTAAGCGCCAAGGGCATTCGGGGGTCGGCTTCACATGTGGCGGTGGCGTCGACGGGAGTCCACCACAAATCAGGGCTAACAAATATTCATCATAGCAACATGAGCAGAATCTGTACCATGATATACCAGGGAAGTGGTTTAAAGCGTTAGAGCATTCGCTTGAGCTCGCTTCCTGATTGGCTGACGAGTTGAATGCACATCGCAACATGAGTATAAGTATGCCCTATTTAGTATTGGATGCACAAGGCGAGATGGACATCTCTGTCTCTAGAAAATATAACATGATATGATTCATATTGCGTGTAGGGTACACTCAAATATACTCAGAATTGATTGTGGGCGAAGTGGTTAACTATCCGTAGAACATTCAATATGGTCCCAAACACACAGACAAGCCCCGGCAGCTCTGTAGAAGAGGTTTCCGCGGCTGATGGAGACCTAGATCTCTGCGTATGTATAGGTCAGGGTCATAGTGAGCAAATTTATAATCACCCAGTAGTGTCGCAGCGAATCTGAAGCGAATCCGAAGAAGAGTCTAGTTTGACCAGATCTTGACCAGATCAGTAATTTGCCCGGATTTCGGGTGGCGAAAATCCTCTGTTACGCAGCAATTCCTTTCGTTGCCAACACATACCTAGGTGTCTATATATATATATATATCATACCAGATGCTTTTCGGAGTTGTTTCTGTCTTGCCTGGAATAACGGGCTCGACGGCAGGTACTGTGGCCGCCGCCGCCGCGGGAACCCTCGGGAACCACAAAATGCAATGCAGTGAGTCTGGGGCCTCGCCACCCAACTTCAATCGGAGTCTAAATCAGAGATATATAAGAACCTCGCTTGGCCCTCGGTGGCGGGAACGCTCTAGCCAGTGCATCCCCGCCATGTCTTTCCCGCAGACTCTGGAGGAGTGGAGGAAACAGGGCGAAGCCTGGGGCGAGAACCGGAAATACGAACCGTATGATCTATGGCGCCCCTTCATTCCATTCTTTCAAAGTCACGGTCTCACACTCTGGGAAACGAGCGCTAGGTACCCCTTACCTGCCTACAATCTACTCCAACCCAAAGGGATCGAAAGAGCCCCCGACGGTTTCTCGTACCTTTCAGAGTATTTTCCTGATGGGCTTCCTGAATTAGAGTACCATATTCAACAAGTCGTGCGTTATTACTTTCCTTATCTCACAACGCTTAATTACCTCATTCGCCCTTTCTTCGTACAATCTCGTTTACCTCTCTAGAATCCTATCGTTTGTCCTGCGCGCACGTCGGATGGTCGCGATGTAATGATACGGCTTGTCTGTATGAAAACAGACCCTAGCCCTTCCGGAATCCGCCACCTGGAGATCTTGCGTCGCATCGCTAAGGGCCATGTTGCTTGTATAGGCAATAACCATATCGTGCCGGTCCTTCAGGAACTGACTAGCGACGAACACGGGCTCACGTTCATTGTGCAACCGAAACTTTACGATATTGATGCGTTTCCTACATGGTATACGGCGCGTGAGGCAGCTGACTTCGTCGTGCAGATCTTAGAGGTCAGTACTGGTCTTGTCTGACAGATCTCTATAAAGCCCTACTTATATTCCGGATTACCCTGCCATAGGGTTTCGACTTCTGCCACAGGCGTCTCATTGCTCATCTCGTAGGCTATTCACTCAATTCCGACGTGTCGTTCATTATCACCTGATCTCGCAACTTAGGATATAGGCTACGGCAACATTCTTAGCAATTTCCGCGGTGGAGCTAAATTTCCAGGCGACTACCGTCAAGAAGGCGTCTATCCCTTTCGCTCCCATTTTCCTGTCCGGTACTACATCAATGACTTCGAATTGGGGCTCTCGTTCGATGAAAACTCCGATCCGCTGTCTAGGTTGATCACGGGCATTCCATATACCACCGCAGGCAGAGCAGGGACATACGGACGGCCTACAGCTCCGGAAATGACCAAACCTGATGTGCCGTATTGTCCTTTCCGTGCGGATGTGTGGCAGCTTGGAACCATGATGAAACAAGATTGTGAATTCGAGGTATGCCCAACTCCTTTGGTGGTCATGATTCCCCAGGGTCGTTATACCCGTAGTTAACGCGCGGCTATGTCTTATGCTTGTAGAACGTAGGCGGGCTGCCGCAGTATCAGAGTCTGCTGGATGAGATGGTCGCCGAGGACCCACTTGCCCGTCCTACGATGGGCGAGGCCTTGCGTAGAGCGCGTGAGCTAAGATTAGCCCTTCCTCAAGATCTCTGATGTTTCATCTGATTTATTGGTGGAGTTCTGATCGTGTATAACGAAATATTCATTAGACAATGTAGGGTTTTGCTGGACTTCGAAATAAGGAAGATGCAATCTCTCAAGAGCGTTTCAAATATACACGGCATAAGAATATACATGACAAGTAGACAAAAAAACGAACAGAAAGGTAAACCAGACGAACGGCAAATGTACGTACTGTTCCCGACCCAGATCTACAAATTGGCCTGGAAGGAAAAAGCTCGCTGTTTGGCGATTTGCCCTCGCGGCATCATTTTCACAATCTGCTCGGATTGTATATGGCATACTATGTGCCAAATTTTGTGCTGAGCGAGCGATCGAATGAGCTGAAAGAAATACAAAGGCGTTGAAAGCGGTCTGTTAGACTTCCGCGCCAATTTGGCCCGGCAAATCTTGCTCTCCACCGGCAGCAACGCTGACCCACATTTCTAGTTCTGGATGCGCAATTACTTATTCTCGTCGTCCGACCGACCATCACCCCGCCAAATCTCTGTATTCCTAGCCACAAGCTCTTCGTTCTGTGCTTGGACTGCTTTATAAGCCACCCTCAGTGACTCGTGCTGCGCAAGAAAAACCTCATGCGCCTCCCTAAGCCTTGTTATCGCGCTCACCACCGCTTCTTGATTCAATCCAAGGTCTCCGTCCGCTTGTCGATATTCTTCTCGACTCAGAGCGCCGTCTTCGACTCCTTACTTGCGGTTCTCATTAGAGATTCTTCACCTCCTACAAAAACTTCAAGTTCTTCTGTCGGAGAGATTGGATATATCTCATTGAAAGTGAAGCCACAAAATTAGTTTCAAAAGTACTTGTACAGAGGATAGTAGAAAAAGGGGAGAGTGTTTGTGGAGCCCGTATCTGCAATAGAAGTACTCCACTCGCAGCGCCTTCAGGCCCTTCTCGGCTGGAAGAACTTCTGCAAGCGAGTGAGAGCAGCTGACTTTCAATCACGCCAATTTTGTGCTCCGTATCTCGCCTTCAAGGTCTCTATTCTCCGCGTTATTTTTGTCACAGATTAGTGCTACTGCGATCGGGAGTAGCATTGCTAGCCTACGTACCTGAGAACTGCGATTCTTTTGTCACGAGAAGATCTAGCAGTTCAAGTGGGTCAGACTGAAGTTTGTGTGGCGTTGGTGGTGCTCCTAGCATTTGCCCGCTTTTGAAACTTCGATGGAGCTTGAGTGGCGTGTAGTTTTGTACAGCGGCGTTTGACACGGCGTTTTGTCTCGTAACAAAAAGATGTTGTCAACATATTCAAGGTCTCCCGGTGGTACAGTTACTAGTAGTATAGTGTATCGGGACTAACTACCAGGCGAAGAAGGACGGAGTCGGACAACACGGATGCGTACCTCACCGCTAGTATGATTTTGCTGCAAGTATTTACGCGACAGGTTGCTCATCGTCACACAAGTACTCAGGAGTGGCCCCAAGGTAGACCACCTGTGGAACCAGAAGGGCCAGGAAATAGCACTGTTAATTCACTGTCGCGAACGTGTGTCACTCCTTGGCAAATAATTTGGCATAATTGAGCTCTGTTGAAGGCTCTTGTGTACATACTTAGAACGCGAAGCACAGTACTTAGTAGTCCAATACAAACACAAAAAATCGTCGCTACGACAGTTGGAAACGAGGTCGTAACTTCACCGCATGCAAAAAAAAAGACCTTTAGCATCGGATAACGCTCGACTCATGAACAGGGCGACATTCCGCTGACATTCACACCGATGGGGCCAGGGTGATTTCGTCTCTGAGGATCCACACAGAAGTTGATATCAGTAAGTAAACAATAAATAAGGCGTTGTATACGACTGGTAAACTTACGATTCCACGGCATCTGTACAATCTTTGAGGGGGACCGATACCTTAACGCCGTTCAGGAACTGGAGAGTGATCTTCATGGTTTCTATGTTTGGCTAAGAGAGTTCAGTGAAGTCATTGGTTAGTTAAGAAGACAGTACGGTGAATGGAAATATCAACGGAATGTACCCACAGAGCTGGTCACACGGTTAATGCTGCGTCCGACGTAGAACGTCTTGTTACGGTCACCGCCAGGCCAATAACGATAAAGTTTAGCCATAGTGATAGCTTGGAGTGGAGAGTGAGTGAGCTGGGAGTGAATAAAGTCCGATGCGGGCAGGAGTCTTGGGGGTAAGATGGCTACCTCTCAGATCATTCTGTATCTTTTATACCCCACTGAGCGCTCAAGACTGCAGGTCCGTGAGCTGAGAAGAAAAAGTGATAACAAGCCCTTGTGTGCTCCCAGAAAGTACTAGGTCTGCACGA